ATGCACTGTACCAAGACTCTAGGTTACTTTTGACCTGTAGCAGACATTGGCAAGACTGAAATTTTAATTTCTTAGTGTGATTGAAGCTGTGGGTGGGTTTTTTTCACCTTTTTTTTTTTTTTTTTTTTAATCTTTATTTATTAACCTGTCTTTGTCTCCACCCACAAGCTGCTATCTCTCCTGCCCTCCCTGATTCTCTCCCCAAGGCGGCTGGCGGGAGGGCTTAGCTACTGGCTGGGACCAGCCACCACACAAGAAGCAGGCAGACAACAGAGCACCCGCATCGGCAACAGGCGCCCAAAGAACAACTCAAAGAGGGACTTGCACAGTGAAAACATGCTCTGGTTTCACTCCTGACAGTCCACTCTCTGCCTCAGCGGCAGCCTCTGAGCTTTTGATGCTTAAAAACCCTGGAGCCCATGGCAAGAGCTTCCAGAAAGGCTGCAAAATTCAAGCAGTTTTACCGAGTGAGGCAAAAATTTGTACTTCCACTGGGGCAGTAGAATAAGCCTTGTAGACAAATAGGAGCTAAAACCTGACTTTTGCTACGCAATGTGGTACTTTTTCCTCTATTTCGAAATAATGCTGCTGAGAGAAGAAACTTTCCCACCAGGCTGAACTCTCATCTCATCCTCAGACCAGAATCCTAGCATGCGCCAAGCATCACAGAGCATTAAACACCAAACACCTCACCATTGTCTGTTTCCATGCCTTTTAATTCTGTCAAAATGGGTGGGTTTTTCACAGAGCTGTTGGAATTCACCTAGAACTCTTCATAAGCATTTCAAGGGCACAAACTGCTGCGGACACAGTAAGCTTAATTCTGTATTTTCCTTCAGCTCTTTCCCCATCTCATCCTGTTAAATACCATTGAGGGGGTTTGTTTACAACAATGTGAGAAATTAGAACTTCAGATGCTCATAAAGCACTAACTCAAACTCCCAGTTAAACTTAAACATTGTGTCCCTTCTGCCAGACCATAAAAAGGAAGAGAAGGATGCTCTTATTACAAAGATATGTACCAGTCTGGTGTGATTAACAGTCCATCCTTATGTCCAAGACAGCTGGAATGTGATTTATGAGCAAGGTTTCCATGAGAACCAATGCCACATTCTTCCCTATTTGACCTGTGCAGGGTATGGCCTCAAAAAAAACCCAAAACAAGTGTATCAAAATAATAATAAAACCACAAGCAATCTCTTGGCACAAGTAATTGTCAAGTTTTATTTATAATACTTGTGCACAGTAAAGGCAAACAATTCAGCATCTTGTTTCTAAGAAAGATCTCATCTCTATGTGGTGGATTGACCTTGGGTGGATGCCAGTTGTCCACCAAGCCCTTCTATCACTCTCCTTCTCAGCGGGGCACTGAGAGGGAAATAAGATGGAAAAAAACTCGTGGGTCAAGATGAAGGCAGTTTAATACAGCAAAAGTGGAGGCAGCTCACAGACCAAAGGAAAATAAAAGATACTCCTTATGTCCTATCGTCGGGGGATGTCCAGCCACTTCCCGGGAAGCAGAGCTTCAGTACTCGTAGCAAACAAAGTGGACTTTGTTGTGAGAGTCTACTATCCACCACCCAATCAGGATGATGAATTATTCTATTAGGAATTCAGGAATATCAGTAGATCAGCTGCCCCTGTCCTTATGGGTGGTTTTAACTTCCCAGATGTCAACTGGGAATATCATACAGTGGACACAAACAGGTCCAGGAAATAGACTTAGTGTTGCTAGTCTGCTTAAAGGAGTTAGTTAGTAAGGTCCCCTGGGAATCTGCTGTTGCAGGTATTGTGGTCCATAAAAGCTGGTCACTTTTTAAGATCCATCTCTTAAGGGTGCAGGAGCAGGCAATTGCAAATTGTTGGAAGTCAAGCAAGCAGGCCAGAAGGCCAGCTTGGATATTCTAAAACTTATGTTGAAAAGGAAAGTGTTTGGACATTGGAAGCAAGGACAGGCGACACAGGAGGACTACAGAGATGCTATTCACCACTGTAGAGGGAAAATGTGTGTGGCCAAAGCTTGATGTGTGTGAAAATGTGAAATGCGTGTGGCCAAGCTGGCCAGTACAGTGAATGACAACAAAAACTTTCAAAAATATGCTGACAGCAAAAAGAGAGTCAGAGATAACATTGATTCCTTACTTGATGAGGGTGGTCACCTTACAAACAGGGATGCAGTCAAAGCGGAGACATTTAACGCCTTATTCACCTCTGCCTTCAACACCAATGATGGGCCCTGAGACCCCTGGAGCCATGTGTTGGAAGATCATGACTGGGGAATGATTAACTCCCAGCTGAATTTGAATTTGTTTAAGACTTGCTGCTCCAGCTGGCTGCACATAAGAATCATCCCAGGGTACTGAAAGAGCTGGCTGATGTTATCGTAGGACCTCTCTCCAGTATTTGTCAAGAGTCTGGGGAGTCTGGAGAGGTCCCAAGCAGCTGGAAGCAGGCAAATGTCCCAGTTTTTAAGAAGGGTAAGAAGAAAGATCCTGGTAACTACAGGCACGCCAATCTCACTTCAGTGCCTGGTAAAATTACAGAGAAGGTTGTTCTTGGAGTTGTTGAAAAACACTTGAGAGACAGTCTCTGGTCAGTATGTGTTCACAAGGGGAAAGCTTCATTAACTTAATTTCCTCTTATAACGAGGTCACACATCTAGTTGACCAAGGGAAGCCAGTAAATGTGGGGATTTTTGATTTCAGCAAAGCTTGTGATACGATCTCTCACACAATCCTTCTTGACAAATTTTCAGCAATGCAGATAGACAAGTCTGTAATATGATGAATGAACATTTGGCTGATGGGCTGGGCTCGAAGGGTTATAGAAAACAGAGTTACATCAGGCTGGTAGCCAGTCACCAGTGGCATTCCCCAGGGCTCAATTTTAGGGCCAGTGCTTTTTGATGCTTTTATAAATGATCTGGAAGCAGAAATTTAATGTACATGAAGTAAGTTTTCTGATTATACTAAACTAAGAGGAGCTGTAGACTCTCTTGAGAATAGAGAGGCTTTACAGAGAGGTCTGAATAGACTAGAAAGCTGGGCAATCACCAACCATGTGAAATTTAGCAAGAGGGAGTGCCAGATTCTGCATCTAGGACAGGGTAATCTTGGTTATACATACAAATTGGGGGATGAGAGGCTGGAAAGCAGCCCCTCAGAAAGACATGTAGGGGTTTGGGTTGATGGCAAGTTGAATATGAGTCAACAGTGTGCCCTGGCAACCAAAAGGGCCAACTGTGTCTGGGGGGTGCATCAAGCACAACATAGCTAGCCAGTCAAGGGAGGTGATGAATATAGTTTTGGGCACCTCTGTACTAGGAAATCAGACTATTAGAGTGTGTCCAGAGGAGGGCAACCAAGAGGTGAAAAGCCTCGAGGACAAGACTTATGAGGAAAGGCTGAAGTAACTTGTTTTTCAGCTTGGAGAAGAGAAGGCTGAGGGATGACTCATTGCAGTCTACAGCTTCCTCAAGGCGGCAGTAGAGGAGGAGGTGCTCATCTCCTCTCTCTGGTGACCAGCAATAAGACAAAAAGAAACAGTATGAAGTTTGAAGGCAAGTTCCGACTGGACATTAGGAAAAAGTTCTTCACTGGACTGGCTGGTGGTCAGTCACTGGAATAGGGGAAGTGGTCATGGCACCAAGTCTGTAAGAGTTCAAGGAGCATCAGGATGATGGTCTTAGTCATATGGTTTAGTTTTAGGTGGTCCAACAAGGAGGAGGGATTTGGACTCGATCATCCTTATGGGTCCCTTCCAGCTCAAGATGTTCTATGATTCTACGATTCTGCCTTATGAAGAGAGCTGTAGTACAGCTCACGTTACTCTATTTTGAGATACAGACACAATCATCAGAAAGACATTTGTTAAAATATAACTATAAATCACCCACTTTAACCAGACCCTCCTCTTTCTTCTGCTTCTATTGTTAATCGTTAAAACTGCTGTGATAAATTGGGAGGAAAAACCCCTTATTATCTGTAATATTATTACATGATCCTTGGTTTTCTTGTTCGTGTTTATGTACTTGTCTGTTTGGATGCCTACAACCAAATCAAAAAAGAACTATTTAAAGAAAAGATCAGGCAGAACAGGTAGGCAAGGAAGCACAGGAGGCAGCTGAGATCATAGAATCATAGTATGGTTTGAATTGGAAGAGACCTTAAAGATAATCTAGTTCCAATTCCCCTGTCATGGGCAGGGACACCTTTCACTAGATGAGGTTGCTCAAAGCCCCATCCAACCTGGCCTTGAACACTTCCAGGGATGGGGCATCCACAACTTCTCTGGCCAACCTGTTTCAGAGTCTCCCCACCCTCAGAGTAAAGAATTTCTTCCTTATATCTAGTCTAAATCTACCCTCTGAATTTCAGTTTATAACTGTTATCCCTCATCCTATCACTACACTCCCTGATAAAGAGCCTCTCCTCATCTTTCCTGTAGGTCCCCTTTAGGTATTGAAAGGCTGCAATAAGGTCTCTCTGAAGTCTTCACTTCTCCAGGCTGAACAACCCCAACTCTTTCAGCTAGTCCTCATCGGAGAGGTGCTCCAGTCCCCTCATCATCTTTGTGGCTCTCCTCTGGACCCATTTGAGCAGGTCCATGTCTTTAGAATGCTGGGGCCTCCAGAGCTGAGTTCCAGATGGGGGTATCACAGGAGTGGAGTGGAGGGGGAGAATCACCTCCCTCAACCTGCTGGCCACACTTCTTTTGATGCAGCCCAGGATGCAATTGGCTTTTGGGGCTGCTAGCACACATTGCCAGCTCATATTCAGTTTTTCATCCACCAATACCCTCAAGTCCTTCTTCTCAGGGCTGGTCTCAATCCACTCGTCGCCCAGCCTATATCTGTGTTTGGGATTGCCTCCACTCGGGTGCAGGGCCTTGTACTTGGCCTTGTTGAACTTAATGAGGTTTGCATGGGTCCACCTCTCTAGCCTGCTGAGGTCCCTCTGAATGGCATCACTTCCCTATAAACTATCAGCCACACCACTCACCTTTTGATGCAGCCCAGGATGCAATTGGCTTTTGGGGCTGCTAGCACACATTGCCAGCTCATATTCAGTTTTTCATCCACCAATACCCTCAAGTCCTTCTTCTCAGGGCTGGTCTCAATCCACTCGTCGCCCAGCCTATATCTGTGTTTGGGATTGCCTCCACTCGGGTGCAGGGCCTTGTACTTGGCCTTGTTGAACTTAATGAGGTTTGCATGGGTCCACCTCTCTAGCCTGCTGAGGTCCCTCTGAATGGCATCACTTCCCTATAAACTATCAGCCACACCACTCACCTTGGTGTCCTCTGCAAACTTGCTGAGGGTGCACTCAATCCCACTGTCCATGTCACCAAAAAAAGATGTTAAATAATACTCATCACAATACAGACCCCTGTAGGACACCATTCATCACTGGTTTCCACATGGACATCAAGCTGCTGACCACAACACTGACCATCCAGCCAATTCCTCATCCACCAAGTGGTCTACTCATCAAATCCACGTCTCTCCAATTTAGAGACAAGGATGTTTTGTGACACTGACCATCCAGCCAATTCCTCATCCACCAAGTGGTCTACTCATCAAATCCACGTCTCTCCAATTTAGAGACAAGGATGTTTTGTGAGACAGTATCAAATGCTTTGCACAAGTCCAGGTAGATGATATGACTCACTCTTCCCTGGGACATATCCCTATCATCTCCCCAGGATGTGTATCCCTTCCTCCACTGCCTATGCTGTTTTTTAAGTTTGGCTAAGAAGTCGTGACTTCCTGAATTCTTGCACATCATGATTGAGAGCTCTGGAACCCTAAGTAAAATGTCTTTAAATATATCCCAGCTCTCGTTCGCTCCTTTATCCCTGGGGGCAGTTTCCCAAGAGATCCCACGCACTAACACCCTAAATAGTCAAAAGTTTGCCTTTCTGAGGTTTAGGATCCTGATTCTACTTTTATTTATCCTGTACCCTTCAAGACTGAGAATTCTACCAGGGTGTGACAGCTGGGTCAAAGCAGTTAAGAGTGTCAGTTCCCCATTAGCCAGAGCTGTCACTGAGACAAGCTGCCAGAAAAGCAAAAAGGCTTTGAGAGGGGAGGGGAGAAGCCCCCCAGACTGCACTGTGGACAGGAACGCTAGCAAGGTGAAAGCGCGCTGCTCCTCCCAAAACAGAGATCATCACAGCAAGCAGAGAGCCCACCTGTGCCATGCACAGAGTTTTAGGCTGCCATTACAAAAGTCCTTAGCTGAAATACTGTCACATGTTCGACGAGGCTGTGCTGTGAACCACAGCGGGCAACGGGCCCAAGTGTTTATGTTTCTGAGCAGTGTTTCTTCCCTTTTTTCCGGATGTCTCGAAAGTCAGTCAGACCTGTTCCTGGTTCAGATTTTAGTGGTGCCCCAGCAGCCACTGTGGGAGAGGGACCTGCTTGGGGAACAAGGAGGTGAAGGAGGGCTTGAGGCCGCTCTGGATCACCGTAGCATGGCTAAAGAAATGGTGGGATAGATGCTTTCTTTGTATGACTTGATCTTCCATGTTTTGAACTTTGAGTGACTCTGGTTTGTTCTGGAGAAAGTCTGGGCAGGCTAGTCAGTCACTTTAGCATGTCCTCGGGCCCCAGCCCTGGCTGGACCTGCTAACATCATCCCAGTTGATACACAACAGTTTGTAACACAGGACATGGGTGGAAACAGGGAAGCCAAGCTCCTAGAGCTGATGGCACAGCACTGGAGAGGAACCCAGAGTCCTCAGGAAGGACCCAGCTCAGACAGCAGCCAAGGAGGAAGGTGAAAGGCAGAGTGAAGATGTTACCTGGAAATTAGCAGTAAATGCTTCTTAGCTTTTATCATGCCTTTTTCATGACTTTTTCTCAGTTGTTTCCACCTCTTCCAATTTCTCTTTTTTTATTTTTTTACCTTCCTTTCTTTGTCTCTTCCTACTTCCTCTTTGGTTGACTTGATTTTCTCCATCTGCCTTCTGCAAAGGCTTCCCTCATCCTACCTTCTGTCCTACTCCCTCTCCTCACTCCAACATAGCAGGTCCTTGCGCAAGGACTCCCTTCATCTTGTAATTGCTTCCAACCCACAGCCTGTGAACCCTTCTGAAATTGTTTCCCACATACCTTCCTATTTTAGACCATACACATTCTTCAAAGTTCCCTCACCTTTATGAGCTTTTTGATAACACAACAGCAGGAGAGCTCCCATGCCACACTCAAGCCCCTGACAGCAGTCCCAACCTTTCCCCAGCGATTGGGGCTGTTGCCTACACATACAGAAGCCGTAGACTCAACATCTATAAGCCTGAGATGAAAAGATAGTCATTCTTACATGTTCCCAACTCATAAATCAAAGCATGAATTGGGTATTTTCTGAGACAAATATGTCACAAAATGCTTTTCTTGCTTTCCATAAATACACCAAATACAGAAACTAACACTTCGTTAAAATCACCTTTACTCCAACAGTGATCTGAACAGCAGCAATTTAAGGCACGGCCAGACTCCTCCCGGCAGTCTGGGTACTGGAGTAAGCCGGGCAAGTGTCTCACCCATGCTTGACCCAACCACAAAAGATGCTGGAGGCCCCCAGCAAACTGAAAGCTGGACGTGGTGATTCTCTTCTAAAGCAAGGGCTTCCAGTGGGTAGTGCATCTTCTCCTGCTGGGCAGCAATCCATGCCAAGCAAGTGTCAGATAAACATCTGTGCCAGCAACAGTTTGTGTTCAATCTTGTCCTAGCAAAACAAGTGTACTATCAGCTTGAGGACCAATTGCACGTTTCATTTTGGGAACAATGGCACAATTCCTCTTATCCTCCACACCTCAACAGTTTCTCCAAGTTACGTTTAGGACCTTTTGCTCACCAGGCATCCGAGCAGTGTTTACAGTAGAGCTAAACAGTTTCTTGGAGTAGCTTGTTGTAGGCCAGGGTATTACTGGTAGCTATGGCATTTTTCAGGCACTGCCAGAAGTAGGGCTGAGATCGGGGGTTAGTGGGCCATTCCAGGACAGAACTTCTGCACAGCCTCTTCCTCAGCCGGACATACCGAGACTTCTGCAAGACCTTCTCAAGAAATATCAAGATAATGACATCTATTTTTTCATCTAGAAGGCGCTGGTGGGCCATGTAAAATGTTGTCTTGAAGCGACCGCTTTTAATATACTTGTTGGTCAGCACAAAGACGGTCTTCTTGCTCAGCCGAATGCTCTGGGAAAGGTTGTCAAAGACGGGCTGTCCTGGCAGCCAGTCCCTTTCTTCCAGGCATAGATTGAACTGCCTGGGTTTCTGATCCTCCAGCCTTTCAACCAGTTCTGTCAGCACCCACTCATTCACAGCCGGATCTTTGTTGTCATAGGCAATAAAAGCATCGTAGCAAGCATCTGGTAAAGGGAGGCGCCGATAGCCCTTCAGCTTGGCAGTGCAGTAATGGTAACTATACCACACATCCCAGAAGTAGAGATGGTTCATCACTGTGAACGCCATTAAGGCTAGGACAGTTGAGGCTGACAGAGCGTACAGGATCAAATACGAGGTGTCCAGCTCACACGTATACAAATTCAAGAAAACCACACTCTTTCCTTTATGTGCCCCTGGGCCTGCACAGGTCACATCTGTTGCCAGAAGAGGAATAGTCACTTGAGTTTGATTGATCCAGGAAACAAACCACACGGCATCACAATTGCACTTGAAAGGATTGCCATGCAAGAGCAGCATCCTCAGGTTGTTAATGACGTTTTCAGGGAAGCTAGATTTCTTAATTATCTCGATCTTGTTTGCACTGAGGTCCAAGTATTTCAATTTAAAAGCACCTCTGAGAAAGTGTTTGGTTAGTCGCTGAATGCGATTGTTTCGGAGCATCAGTTCTTGGAGTGTTGAAGAGCAATTGGACAGTTCTCGGGGAACAGTAGAGAGAAGGTTATTGCTGAGGTCCAGAGTTACGAGTTTCTTCAGATACTGCAGTTTTCCCCAGTTGAAACTCTTCATCTGATTATTGGTTAAGTTGAGGGTCTTGAGGCCTGGAGGCATACCTTGAAAAACATCCGCAGGTAAAAAACTGAGTGAGTTGAAGGAAATATCCAGTTGTTCCAGGCTGGTCAGATTCTTGAAGAATGACAAGTATTTAGCATTGCCATCCATCCATAAAACATCCAAGCGATTTCCTCTGAATTCTAAAATTTGAAGAGATTGACTTTCCATTCCTGTGTTAATAGAGGTAGAAATCTCATTCTCATTCATCATCAGCTTCTTCAGGTGGGCCAAGTTTTTCATAAAACTCAGCGTGTGACTAACACCTTCTGCCAAGAAATAATATTTGTTGTTGCTCAGGTCTAGAACTTCTAGAAGTTGTAGCTCTTTGAAAGCAGTTGAGTAGAGCAAGTCAATCCTGTTGTCGGAAAAATCCAGATATTTCAATCCAGACAAGGAAGAGAATTCACTTCCGTTTAAGGTTTGACTTATTGCATTACCTGACAAGTTGAGGCATCTGAGGGAACCAAGTCCCTGGAAGTCTGAGGGGTTAATGAAAAAGATATTGTTTCTGCTCAAATCCAGAGTTTCTCCGTACCTCAGGCACTCTTCCTTAACTGAAGATTGGTAGGAAGCAGCCTCTTTGTCTTTGGACCTGCAACTTCGCCCATATACGTCATACCTGAAATAATGCATTTCTTGTAATACTTGCCTATTGTATTGCTCTACTGAAATCCGAGGATTAGAGCAAAATCCATAAGAATTGCTTTCCTCTGAAGAAGGAGAAATTTTATTCACTGAGAGGTCTATGAGTTTAAGAGCAGGGAACTCCTTGAACACTTTCAAGTCAGCTATTTTAATGAAGTTAGTCCCAAGATCCACCACAGTTAGATTTCTGAGACCGAGCAATGGAGCTAGATTACTTTTTTTCAGTTCATTAAAGACATAACCCCTGAGCCTGAGGGTTTCCAGGTTAGAGAGGGAGGAAAATGTCTTAGACAGATTCAAGAATGGAGAATACATCTTCAGTTCAAAATTAAAGGACAGATCAAGCTCAACAAGGCTAGGGATATACCGCAAAAACTGAGCATCTCCTATCTCCCTTAGGAGGAAATTTTGGGAGAGGTCAAGCTCTTTGAGATTCTTCATGTTTTGAAACCAGCTGCTGGGTACGCTCTGAAGAGAGTTGCTGTGGAGTCTCAAAATTCTTAAACTTTTCAAGGAATAAAAAGCCTCTGGATGAATCTCAATTGTGCTCCTGGGGCAGGGTAGACAAGGATATGGGGCATTATAGCAACGTGGGCAATTGCCGCTTAGATCAAGAATTTCTAGGTTGTGCAGGGCACTTAAATCCTGTTCTTGAATCACTTGAATCATGTTATTGTAAATATACAGTTCCTTTAAAGTCGATGGCAAATGGGCTGGAATATGAGTCAAGTTGTTGGACTTCAAGGAAAGTATTGTTAATTTCTGCAGCTCCAGAAAGGCCGTTTCTTCAATTTCAAATGAAACGTTGCATGGATTACGGTAGTAACAGTTCTGTCCCAGATACAACACTTCTATGTTTCCTAGCTCGGACAAGTTAGCTCTTTGGATAGAAAAGATGCTGTTCGCTTCCAGGCTCAGCAGACTTAAATTAATGGGAAGACCCCGGGGTATTTCCAACAGCTGGTTGGCATCCAGATACAAGGACTTCAGTCTTGTCAGGGCAGTAAAACTGCCACGCTCAATCTTTGGTGTTGTGGTACACACGTTATCTTTGGGTCCCATTTTGACAGGCACACAGTTGCACCTGAAGTCAATCTCCATGAGGTTGTCAAGATGAGCAAAGGATGTTGGATAGATATAGGGGATGTGGTTAATGCTCAGGGTAAGGTTGGTAGCATTTGCTGGGATCCCTCTAGGTATTTCAATGAGGCGGCGATTGGTGCAGTCCACGGTCACAGTACCTTCAGAAGCTTTAACATCACAGGGTAAACTTTTGGGAAACCAAGCTCCTGACAGCAGCATCGGAAATAGGAAGAGCAAGACAAATGGCAATGACTTTGACATCTTTGCACGAGGAACCTAAAAATAAGAACAAAGGGCGGTATTAATTTAATGTAATGAGAACATGTCATAGGATATCAGACCAAGCATGTACTTGGTCAGACCAAATATACAGCTAACCTGGTGTTCTGACTTTCACACTGGATAGATGTGGATATGCAGGTAGGGTTGTAAGTTTGGGGTTGGTATATGTTTTCTCAATTTATTTAGTTTCTTATCATCAAGTATTGTAGCAGTAATAGAGAGGTCACTAAATAATGAATCATTAAAAATGAACCTACTGAAAAGATGAGAAGGCAGGTGATTAAAGGCTACACCTCTGTGAATATTCTTTATAACGGATAAGAAGAAGGCTTAAACATCCAGCTGATTGCCATCTGTGGCAATAAAGTGAATGAGCAAAGTTAATTTTTCGAAGCATATGAAAGATAGAACAAATCTATAGTCACTTACAAGCTGGTGTAAATTTTCCAAACCACACCGACTAACAGTTGAGTGCCTAATTAAAATTTCACTTTATCATAAATATTCTTAGAAACCTACAATATAATCAAAGAATCATTCAGGTTGGAAAAGACTTTTAAGATCACCAATTCAAGCCATTAAACTCCCTCTGCCAAGTCCATCAAAAAAATATGTCCCTAAGGACCATATGTATACATCTTTTAAAAACCTCCAGGAATAGGGACTCAGCCACTTTCCTGGGCAGCCTGTTACAGAGCTTGACAACCCTTTCGGAGAAGAAATTTTTCCTAATATCCAATCTATACCTTCCTTGGCACAACTTGAGGTCTCCAGTTTCCTCTCATTGTATTACTTGTTGCTTGGGAGAAGAGACCAGCCTCTGCCTCACTACAACCTGCTTTCAGTTGTAGAGAGTGATAAGGTCTCACCTCAGCCTCCTTTTCTCCAGGCTAAACAACCTCAGTTCCCTCAGCCGCTCCTCAGACGACTTGTTCACTAGATCCTAGTTCTGGTATTCTTCTTTGGACAGGCTCCAGCACCTCAATGTCCCTCCTGTAGTGAGGGGCCCAAAACTGAACACAGTACTTGAGGGGGAATCTCCTCAGTGCCGAGAACAGTGGGACGATCACTTCCCTAATCATACTGGTCACACTATTTCTGATACAAGCCAGGATGCTACTGGCCTTTATGGCCAACTGGGCACACGGCCACCTCATAGTCAGCCGGCTGTCGACCAACACCCCCAGATTCTTTTCTGCCAGGTGGCTTCCCAGGCACTCTTCCGCCGGCCTGTAGCACTGACTGGGGTTGTTGTGACTCAAGTGCAGGACCTGGCACTTGGCCTTGTTGAACCTCATACTGTTGGCCTCGGCCCATTGATCCAGCCTGTCCAGATCCCTCTGCAGAGCCTTCCTACCCTCAAGCAGATCAACGCTCCTGCCCAACTTGGTGTCATCTGCGAACTTACTGAGGGTGCACTCAATCCCCTTCTCCAGATAATTGAAAAACATATCAAACAGAACCGGCCCCAGTGCTGAGCCCTGGGCAACACCACCTGTGACCCGCTGCCAAGTGGATTTAACTCCCTTCACCAAAACTCTTTGGGCTCAGCCATCCAGCCAGTTTTTTACCCAGCAAAGTATATGCCCATCCAAGCCATGAGCAGCCAGTTTCTCCAGGAGAATGCTGTAGGAAATGATGTCAAAGGCTCTACTAAAGTTCAAGTAGACATCCTCAGCCTTTCCCTCATCCAGTAGGTGGGTCACTTTGTCACTGAAGGAGATCATGTTAGTCAAGCAGGACCTGCCTTTCATAAACCCATGCTGACTGGGCCTGATCATCTGGCTGTTCTGGACATGCCACGTGATGGCACTTCAGGTGATCTACTCTAAAACCTTTCCCGGCACTGAGATCAATCTGGGACCTTCCCAGATAGCCAGGACCACTGTCAAATGATTGAAAGTGGCTTGGTGAGCACTTCTATCAGTTTCCTCAATATCCCTGGGTGGATCCCATCCAGCCCCATAGACTTGTGCATGTCTAAGTGGTGTAGCAGGTCACCAACCATTTCCCTTTGGATTATGGGTGCTTTTCCTTGGCTTTGTCACTATGTTTGCCCCCACATCCAATAAAAGATGGAGATTCTCCTTAACCCTCCTTTTGTTCTTAATGTATATATTGAACCATTTTTATTGTCTTCTATGGCAGTAGCCAAATTAAGTTCTAGCTGAGCTTTGGACCGTCTGATTTTCTCCCTGCATAGCCACACAACAGCTTTGTAGTTCTCCTGAGTATCTGCTCCTTCTTCCAAAGGTCATAAGCTCTCTTTTTTTTCCCCTGAGTTCCAGCCAAAGCACTCTGTTTAGCCAGGACGATGTTCTTCCCCAGCAGCTCTTCTTTGAGCACACGGGGACACTTGTGTGCCTTGAAGATTTCCCTCTTGAAGAATGTCTAGCCTTTCTGGACTCCTTTGCCCTTCAGGACTGCCTTCCAGGGGACTCTGTCAACCTAAACAGGCCAAAGTCTGCCCTCTGGAACTCCAAAGTCACAGTTTTTCTAACCTCCCTCCTTACTTCTCCAAGAACTGAAAAGTCTCTCATTTCATTATCACTGTGCCCAAGAGGGCCTCCAACCATCACATCACCCACAAGTCTTAATCTGTTTGCAAACAAATCCAGCAGGGCACCTTCCCTAGTTGGCTCACTTACCAGCTGTGTCAGGATCTTCTACACATTCCAGGAATCTCCTAGACTGGTTCCTCTTCACTGCGTTATATTTCCAGCAGATATCTGATAAGTTGAAGTCCTCCATGAGAACAAGGGCTAGCGATCATGAAACTTCTCCCAGTTGCTTATAGAATCTTTCACCTGCCTCTTCATCCTAGTTGGGTGGTCTATAACAGACTCCCACCATGATAGCTACCTTGTTGGCTCCCCCAATTTTATCCATAAACACTTGACCCTTTCATCACCATCATCAAGCTCTAGACAGTCACACACATACACCTCCCCCCAAGAAACAGGGTTACCCCACTGCCTCTCATTCCTTGCCCGTCCCTTCTGAAGTGTTTATAGCCATCTATTTCAACGTTATAGTTGTGTGAGCCATCCCACCACATTTCTGTAGTTGCAACTATATCAGTCTTCCAGCTGCACAATGGCTTTCAACTCCTCCTCTTTGTTGCCTTTTCTGCATGCATTGCTACAGATACACTTCAGCTGGGCTAGTGATCCTACCACCTTTTCTTGGGGAGAAACCCTAATTACTATGTTACAGTTCTCAGATGCTTCTGTGATTTCTAACTACCAAGGGAAATAGTGATAACTGTCGTGGATCAAACTCTAGCAGCCTGCCTTCCTTTAAAAGAAGGAAGGTAGACCTCTGCTGCTAACTGGGGCTCAAACAACAGACCAGCTGCACTTGAGGAAAAGTTCATTAACACCAACCTTTCACCATTTGCTAAACCAAATTAAACTCCTCTGTGCAAGCACTAGAGCAGGACTTGAGCAAAGTGAGATTGCAACCTAGATCGCCATAAAATGTCCACGTGAACTCATACTTGGCCACTGCATTCAGGAACTTAATTTTAGGCACTTACCCAAGTTCCTCATTTCGTTGCCAACAAACCTGGGCTGCACTGACATTCAAGAGAGAGTGGGAGAGAAGAGAGAGGCCCCTCTGCAGGCGCTGCTCAGCTCGAACATGGAGGGAGCTCTGCCTGACTACACGCCAAACAGGGACTAACACTGCAGGGTCAGATGACTAAAATTAGGTGCATTGAATCTGGGCCTTAAAAATCTTCATGAAGACAACTAGGTTTCTTAAGAAGTCAAAAAATGCCTTTTGAGATCCTCACGATGTCCAGATTTTGAACTCTCACGTACTGCAGTACTTCCAGGAACCCAAGCACTGTTGCAGAGACAGCCCAGCTCCAACCATCTTTGTGCTTCATTTCTGTCTATATCCTTCTGTTTCCTAATACCCTTTGGATGCATTTGCCATCTGTAACTGGGAACTGTGACGTGCTGGTGCTGCACCTAACTATTTGCATGTGCAACACCTGGTGCCTGTTGTAGTTCCAGAACACACCAAAAAGATTGTTTTAATTAGAAGAAGCAATGCTGACTTGTGCAACGTCTTTGCAATGAGAAGCCAGTTCAAACGTGCAGCGGGAGTGTGCACGTGCACTGTCCTTTCCCTGTGACCTACGCTTGGCTTTAGAAGAAATTCAAGAAGCACTACTCTGCTGATATCAATGAGCACATGCACAAAGCCATAAGGATTTAGGGTAGTCTTCAAATGTTTAGCAACAACACAGCTAGATGTTTCTGAAGGAAGCTTTTCTCCTAGGTGTTCCACATGTGTTTTCAGAGGTGAAAGGGCGAATGTTTGGAGAAAAAAAGAGCATCTCAGAAGTTATAGCGATTAGAAGAGACATGATTGTACTCCTGTGTTACAGAATGAGTATAATTAAATGCTAGCCAGTTTGTATCGGCACAAATAAAAGCTTTCCTTTCCTGTCATTATGTACTGCAGCTTCTAACCACAATAGCAAGTTTGAACATTCCCAAAGCAGAAAAGCACAATGGTCTTGAAAGCCTTCCACAACAGTTGCAGGCAAAGAGACCTAAGAGCAAATTTGAAATGAAAGTTTAACCTACCATTTTTGTGTGCTTCCAGGTCTGGCAAATTTGTGGCTGGAGGAGACTGTAAATCCCAGCAGAAGCCAACAGCATAAAAGAGGTTCCCAGTGGTTCAGCTCAGGTGCAGAGGAGAGTGTAACGTGCCATAACTCACCCAAGACAACAGCAGTAATCACTACTCTAGGACTACTCTTCAGCTGGACTGCGACTTAAGAAATAATGAAATGTGAAACAACTGCTTCAACCCACTTCCTCAAACATTCGTACTTAAATTTAAAACAACGGTACCTCATTTACTGCTCCACCCCCCCAATATAAATAACTGAGTACAGTTATTTTTTCCCTTTTAAACGAATTCTCACATTACTCATACATTCATGTTCTATTATGACAGAAATTTTTTCCTTTTGGTCTCCTATGCTGTATTTTTTTCTCTTCTTTGCTACCTTTCAACATGGCTTTCTTTTCAAATTGTGTATTTTACCGAGCTACAGTGTCATGCCATAAAGAACTATAATTAGACCTGCTCCAAAATGAACATCCAAGCCACGAGAAACCTCAAAGGAAGGAAATTGCAAAATGCTGACAAGAGAGTGTAAGATCAATCGGCTGGGAGACAAATGCGTTACATAAGGGTAACATTCACTTCAGACAACTAAGATTTGCAGAGAGCTCAAGTTCCTTCTTTCCTCCCCCCACCCCCTCTTTTTTAGTGTAAGCTGTATGAACAGAAAAGCAGAAATTGTTAATTGACATTACTAGACGTCAGAATATAAAATATTGCTAATTTTCGTATTTTGGTTCCCTTCCCCAAAGATCCATTCACTTAATAGAGATTTCTTCCACAAAGCATTCAGTTTAAATTATTTGTCCCAGTTCGTGAAGCTACTAGCAGAAGAAATGAACACATATAATAATAATAATACTTTGTGGACAAATGTCTATTAAGTGAATGGGATTTCAGGGAATGGAACCAAAACCAAAACCAAGGAAAAAAAGGTATGGTGGTAAGGGCATAGGAAGCAGCATACAAAAAAGTGAAAACTCCATGAGAGAGTGTAGAAAGGACCAAGCTCATGATGACATGGGTAGACTATAGTGGCGACAAGCCAGCATTTCATTAAACACCGTGTCTGTTGGAGAGTTTCTTATTTAGAAGTTTCTTTGCTTAGCAGGACAGATTAGTGTAGGTTTCTTAAGAAGTCAAAAAATGCCTTTTGAGATCCTCACGATGTCCAGATTTTGAACTCTCACGTACTGCAGTACTTCCAGGAACCCAAGCACTGTTGCAGAGACAGCCCAGCTCCAACCATCTTTGTGCTTCATTTCTGTCTATATCCTTCTGTTTCCTAATACCCTTTGGATGCATTTGCCATCTGTAACTGGGAACTGTGACGTGCTGGTGCTGCACCTAACTATTTGCATGTGCAACACCTGGTGCCTGTTGTAGTTCCAGAACACACCAAAAAGATTGTTTTAATTAGAAGAAGCAATGCTGACTTGTGCAACGTCTTTGCAATGAGAAGCCAGTTCAAACGTGCAGCTGGAGTGTGCACGTGCACTGTCCTTTCCCTGTGACCTACGCTTGGCTTTAGAAGAAATTCAAGAAGCACTACTCTGCTGATATCAATGAGCACATGCACAAAGCCATAAGGATTTAGGGTAGTCTTCAAATGTTTAGCAACAACACAGCTAGATGTTTCTGAAGGAAGCTTTTCTCCTAGGTGTTCCACATGTGTTTTCAGAGGTGAAAGGGCGAATGTTTGGAGAAAAAAAGAGCATCTCAGAAGTTATAGCGATTAGAAGAGACATGATTGTACTCCTGTGTTACAGAATGAGTATAATTAAATGCTAGCCAGTTTGTATCGGCACAAATAAAAGCTTTCCTTTCCTGTCATTATGTACTGCAGCTTCTAACCACAATAGCAAGTTTGAACATTCCCAAAGCAGAAAAGCACAATGGTCTTGAAAGCCTTCCACAACAGTTGCAGGCAAAGAGACCTAAGAGCAAATTTGAAATGAAAGTTTAACCTACCATTTTTGTGTGCTTCCAGGTCTGGCAAATTTGTGGCTGGAGGAGACTGTAAATCCCAGCAGAAGCCAACAGCATAAAAGAGGTTCCCAGTGGTTCAGCTCAGGTGCAGAGGAGAGTGTAACGTGCCATAACTCACCCAAGACAACAGCAGTAATCACTACTCTAGGACTACTCTTCAGCTGGACTGCGACTTAAGAAATAATGAAATGTGAAACAACTGCTTCAACCCACTTCCTCAAACATTCGTACTTAAATTTAAAACAACGGTACCTCATTTACTGCTCCACCCCCCCAATATAAATAACTGAGTACAGTTATTTTTTCCCTTTTAAACGAATTCTCACATTACTCATACATTCATGTTCTATTATGACAGAAATTTTTTCCTTTTGGTCTCCTATGCTGTATTTTTTTCTCTTCTTTGCTACCTTTCAACATGGCTTTCTTTTCAAATTGTGTATTTTACCGAGCTACAGTGTCATGCCATAAAGAACTATAATTAGACCTGCTCCAAAATGAACATCCAAGCCACGAGAAACCTCAAAGGAAGGAAATTGCAAAATGCTGACAAGAGAGTGTAAGATCAATCGGCTGGGAGACAAATGCGTTACATAAGGGTAACATTCACTTCAGACAACTAAGATTTGCAGAGAGCTCAAGTTCCTTCTTTCCTCCCCCCACCCCCTCTTTTTTAGTGTAAGCTGTATGAACAGAAAAGCAGAAATTGTTAATTGACATTACTAGACGTCAGAATATAAAATATTGCTAATTTTCGTATTTTGGTTCCCTTCCCCAAAGATCCATTCACTTAATAGAGATTTCTTCCACAAAGCATTCAGTTTAAATTATTTGTCCCAGTTCGTGAAGCTACTAGCAGAAGAAATGAACACATATAATAATAATAATACTTTGTGGACAAATGTCTATTAAGTGAATGGGATTTCAGGGAATGGAACCAAAACCAAAACCAAGGAAAAAAAGGTATGGTGGTAAGGGCATAGGAAGCAGCATACAAAAAAGTGAAAACTCCATGAGAGAGTGTAGAAAGGACCAAGCTCATGATGACATGGGTAGACTATAGTGGCGACAAGCCAGCATTTCATTAAACACCGTGTCTGTTGGAGAGTTTCTTATTTAGAAGTTTCTTTGCTTAGCAGGACAGATTAGTTCAAGGGTAAGGATATTTATTAAGTGAGGCTTTTTTCATATCTTGCTTCCCTACGTATTTTTCTTTACATTTCAAATAGCAGTTCATCACTTCCATTTTGGAAGACTGGAACCTGAAGAACGACCAGGGAAGGAATTTGCAATCATACTTTAAAATTCCATGGTTTTAGTGGCCGAGTCCTACAGACACACACAAAACCAAGAAGATGTACAGCATCATTGCCCTGTCAGTCAAGGCCTAGGAAAGTGCTCATTAATTCACTCGAGGTCCAGGACTATAATGTTCACCTTTGTGCCCGCTTGCTAAAAGTACTATAATAAAGTACAATTCCTCTGCTGTTTACTGGTAACTGTTTGGTTTTCTTTACATTTCAAATAGCAGTTCATCACTTCCATTTTGGAAGACTGGAACCTGAAGAACGACCAGGGAAGGAATTTGCAATCATACTTTAAAATTCCATGGTTTTAGTGGCCGAGTCCTACAGACACACACAAAACCAAGAAGATGTACAGCATCATTGCCCTGTCAGTCAAGGCCTAGGAAAGTGCTCATTAATTCACTCGAGGTCCAGGACTATAATGTTCACCTTTGTGCCCGCTTGCTAAAAGTACTATAATAAAGTACAATTCCTCTGCTGTTTACTGGTAACTGTTTGGTTTTTTTTCATGCAGTCTGCACTGAGGTTTTCTTTGGGGGGTTATTGTAACTAATGCAGACATCTCACTAAAGTCCTGCCGTGTTCTGCAAGGCCATTCAATGCATTTCTGGTAAGAGGAAAACCTTCATTGCAAGCACCCTACCTTAGCAATTCCGCTCTGTTTCACAGATTACATGTCACCAGAAGGGAAAGTTAGCTTCCCCTCATTTATAGTTACTCACCCGATTGTAGAGCAAACGTGCTTACTTGTGAAATAAGAGAAGGACTCAGCACAAGCTGGATTGTGGAAGTTGATTTCTTCAAGCACCCAACCATGTCCCTGGTGTATGACACTGGAACATCACTTAAAGATGAGATACTTAATGTCCACTCACTTTGGTTATAAGTAGGTTTTCTAGAGCACAGTGTACTGTGCTTCAGAAACACTGTAATTTGTGACAGGTTCTCAGTGTCTTTGGAGATCTTCCTTGCAGCCTGTACCTACAAACTTCAAAAATTTTAGTAGGTGCACCGACACTTGTCTGTTTCTTTTCCACTGAGGCTGAGTTTATTTTTTTCATATTAGGAACTCACTGTCACCCAGTTTCAATTCCGTGCAGAGCGAAACTGCAACTTTAGCTCATAGAAATGCAGGGTGCTTCTTGGCTTTTTTCTTAACCTAAGAAATATGGGAAGGAAAATCCAGCAACATTTCCCTTCATAAGATATGGAGACCACAGGATATGATACTGTCATCTATAACAGGGATTGATATTGCCTTTAAAAAAAATCATGCATGACATACTTATGGGAGAGGGCTACTACGCAAGAGAGGTTATTTTGATCCTAATTTCATGAACAGCAATTGGTAGGAAATAATTCCCTTTCTCCCTCTATGTATTTACAAATGCAAGATAACTACTGATTCACAGAAACATCAGAGCATACTACCAGAATCCACTGAAGCACCAAAGAACAGCTACATAGGAGCCTGTTAAATACCTTTGAGGTGGTTTGTTTACAAAAATGTGAGAAGTCAGAACTTCAGCTGCTCATAAAAAGCACCAGCTCAAACTCCCAACAAAACGTAATCATTGTGTCCCTTCTGCCAGACCATAAAAAGAAAGAGAAGGATGATCTTATTCCAAAGATGTGTACCAGTCTGGTATGATTAACAGTCCATCCTTATGTCCAAGACAGCTGGAACATGATTTATGAGCAAGGTTTCCATGAGAATCAATGCCACATTCTTCCCTATTTGACCTGTGCAGGGTATGGCCTCAAAAAAAACCCAAAACAAGTGTATCAAAATAATAATAAAACCACAAGCAATCTCTTGGCACAAGTAATTGTCAAGTTTTATTTATAATACTTGTGCACAGTAAAGGCAAACAATTCAGCATCTTGTTTCTAACCGATACCTACAAAGCAACTGAATTGATACCGTGCATTTAAAGTATTTTATATCTTTTGCACAGTAATGAGAGCTAAACTGTGGTATATTTATGTGGCCACAGACTTGGGTTAAGAACTTAACTGTGAAGTGATGTTTTCAGGACAACAGGTTACATAGCCTTACATTTAAATATTGCTTTACAAACTGAAACAATGTATGTTAATTTCCACTGCATTAAAAAGTATTTTCAAAAAATAACCTATAATGAGGAATTCCTCAGAGTTGGTGGCTGAATTGAATCCTCATCACAATATTTAATGTACTATATTTTTGTATTGATCACTGAAAGTAGTACAGGTGAAATTCTGTATTACTTATCTTAATACAGGAAAAAGAAACAGAATAAATAAAAAAGCACTGGAAAAATTTGTAAACAAAGTAGAGGACTGTCTTAAACAGAACGGTAAAATCCATTTTATAATACAAAATTGTTTCATTATAGATATATCCCAGAATAAGCAATGTAGGATGAAATAAGGCTATTTTTTATGTAGCTCCACAGTAAAGCAGCATCTGTCAAGCATGGCTAATGCTTTTGTAATTAACAACTGCAATTTCAGGTAGAAAACTGAGTTTTCCCATTATCCAAGTGCAGGAACATTATCTTAATACACAAAGTCTTCCTTTCTAGCAGGAAGACTGAAAAGCCTCCACAGCAGGCTTCAAAGACCTAAAATTACAATGTTAGATTCAGGGTGTTTTTTCCCCTCCAGAATGCATTACTGACTGCATTACCAGTACTTAACCATAAGCTTTCTCAGCATACAAGTAGCAAAACTGTTTTCATAAACAGTAGAGAATTAAAATAATTAAGTATTCAACAGCCTACCGTAGTTCTCTGGATGTACAGTAAAGTATGGTGGTACTTAGGAATAGAAACGTGAAGATCTCATGACTGCAGTTTGAAAAATAGAAAAAACCCACACCAAAAAATAGTTTCAGAGACTTTTAAAATCAAGTAACTGTGGTCAGAGACCAACTTGTATAAATATCTGTATTTAAATTTGCTGTTTGGAATGTACGTAGTGAAGCATCACAATATTAAACAGGAAAACTGCTATGAAATGATTCATGTGATCACAAGCAATGTCAGAAGTGAAAATGAAACCAAACTTCTTGTGATTAAAGATTGGTCCTTGTTGTTGAAAGACATGAAATGAATCATCCTGGAAATACTGAAACACTAATTTTACAACTGAAGACAATAACTGCACAGAATAGATGTTAAGCAAAAAATTTAATGTAATGAGAGCTTTACAAAAGAAAACAGCAGCCACATATATCTGTGGAAAAAAGAACATGAAGTGTACAGAACACAATTAATACTATGTATGTGTCAACAGTTCCTAAAAATTAACATGAAGTTTACATTCTGTTAGGGCTCACTTATTCATGGTAGTTAAACTAATAAACAACAGCTGCTTACCTGGCAAATTAATAGATACAAGATACCCAGCCAGCAGCATTTAGCTTAACACAGAAAGTGATCTTATATGCATACATTGCATTAAGTTCTATGAACAGACAGTTAGTGGTTCTGTAATGAAAAACTGATCTGAAGCAGCAGTTTAGCAGAAAGTGAGGATGGGTACTTAAAAGACAACTTACACAACACACAAGACTTTCAAAGGAATTCATAAAGTTTCTGCAAGACAGATTTATTGCCCATTTACAAAGAACAAATGGTAATTACAAGAAAAATATAATAATTAAACATACAAGCTCTGGAATTGTACAAAGATACTCATTCCTTGTGGTTGAGATGCATTGTTAAAAACAGCAGTGCTAGCTGAAGGGACCGTTGCAAAGACGCAGTGTAACCTCCTGCAGTTACAAGGGGACATGACTGAAAAGGTAAGACACTGATTCACCATTGTGTGTTCTTCGAATGGCCTCAGCCAGGATCATGGAAATGTCAATAAACTGAAAGAAAAAAAAAAGAAGATAATTTTTGTGAGATGTAAAGATCAACTAGACAGTTTACAAACATATAAACATTCAATTTACCATTGTGCTCTCTTACTTCTAGGAAATAACTTTAAAGCATTAGTATTTAACATTATATAAAAGCACTGCATTAATAGAAAGTACAAACTCAAAAAAAAAAGAATAAGAAAGCATTGCATAAGATTGCTGCACAGGGATACTGCTGAAGACTTCTGGCACAGGGCATATTGTCAAAAAAATTATTTTAGCCATCAGATGGCAGTGTCTACTTGACACAAATACAGTTTAAGGAAAGTATACCTTTTAAGTGCTTGACTTGTTTCAATAAATACCAAGTAAATTTTAGGCTTTTTAAAAAGAAATGTTGCATTTAAAAAAGCACCCTCCATGCTGTACTAAAGAAAAACTGCAAAAGGGACACATGACTTCCCAGAACAACCTCATGGAAAAGCTGCTGACATTGTCAGCTTTGTATTCTCAGTTTGGTTTTTGAAAAGAAACTCTCATTGTTATGTCAACATTGGTATCTCGAGCATTTTCATTAATGTATCTAAAAAAAAAGTCATCACCTAAGGTTTATGTGACATCCACAGTAAAACAGCTGTTACTACAGCTATCTATAGTAAGTAGATAAACTCCTAAATACAAATATTGTATTATTAATATTGATTTTTTTTAAAAAAAACCACCTTAATCCAGCCAATTTACATTTGCCATTTTCAGTCAGGCATACTCAAATCTTTGCAAATATCAAATACCAAATATTTTACAACACTCTATTGTACTACCTGAATCCACTTAAAAGCATCCTTTGACATGTTTTAACAATGTGTTCTGCCAACAGCAAAGCTGCATAAGGTACTTTAGAGTATTATTTTCTTCTCAAGGAAGAAATTCTAGCATCAGTGAACAGTAAAATACAAGTCCAGAGTTTAAACAGATGACACAAAGCCACTACTGTACCTGGATTTTTGGGCAGTGTTTCATTTTCTCTTCTTGGGGAATTGTATTAGTTACCACAACAGCCTCAAATGATGCATTATTAATCCGAGAAATAGCAGGACCAGAAAAGATGCCATGAGTAAGAATGGCATAAACTTTAGTAGCTCCAGCAGATACTAACCTGTAGAACACAACAGAAAAGAATGCTGTGATGCATGTTTACATACATGGCTATAGATGAAACAAGATACAAATCTCTTAAAACTACATTTTACACAAATTCCTCCTGGAAGCTACAGGAAGATGAAAATATCTACAAAATAATTTAGAACTTTTTTCAGCTTATACAAACAAGTCTCACAAAAAAAATTCCTAATTAAATAAAAAAGTTCTTATCAGTAGCAGTAGCATTAGTTTAAAGCGCTGCACTTTTGACCACATCAGCACAACATACAACTGAATTCCAGTACAAGTTTTCTAACAATCAGGCAAAAATGAAGTATGTTGGATGGCAGCTTGCACAACCCTATTGTGCCTCCATTATTGTCCACCTTTATTTTCACTTGCAACTCAAATACTTTTGCTTAGAAAGTTTCTAAGGAAGAATAAATGTTAATGATTTAAAGCCTAGCATAAAGATATGATGCTGGCCCAAGCAAGCAGTGAAATGATGCAGCACAGGAGAAAAAAAAAAGTATAAATCAAAGAGCTAGAACACCTTATGAATGAGTCAGAATCTCTTAATTTGGTTTTGACACGCAGCTATGTCCTAGTTGCTTTTCTAGTCTTACAAAGGGAGGCCCTAAAGAGTGGCATTTTATCAGATAATAGCATAAGCACAGTAAGATAGGAAAAAAAGACAAAAAAAACAGAAAAACATCATCGCATTTTGAATGACTCAATAGAATCAAAGTTTTCTGGCCATTCTCAGCATTACATTTAATACCTGCAGCCCACAAGGAGAATGCACAGGGTGAGTGTGTACATAGGGTGTGTTCTTCAGTGTGTACCTAAGCAAGTCTATCTGCTGTATCTGAAAATACATTTCTTAATTCGTTTTCTTGATATGCATCTCGGTTGCTGATATAAGAGGCCTAAAAAGTATTTTGGTGAGCAAGTCTAATTAAGCATAAAGTATGTGTCACCTAGATACAGCCTTAATGAAGAACAGTACTTCATGCCAAAAATGGGATATAAGGCAGGATTACTCAAGCAAAAGCATCTTTCTTATGAACACTATAGATACATTGAAGGTTTCTGATGGTTTTAGACTTTGCTTTATAGAAATATACTACAGGTAAATAAAGAAGTGGTTCTTTCATAACAGGAAAGAAATAAAGGCATCCATTTGGACAAGAATTAACTTCCTCTATGCAAAGCAGTATAAATAAAATATCCTTGGCTAGGCAATTTGTGATTTTGATCTGCAAAGGGCACAGCCCAGAAGCAGGCTTTGAGGTCTGATACAGACGTGTACGCTGATACAACTGCACAATACTGCTTTGCAAAATTCCATCAAATTTCCAAAGTGAAAAGGAACACAGGACTATGTGAATCCCTCTATCATATTTTTGACTTCTTTCTATCTAGATGCAAACAGCAAGCCCGCAACTGAACACTGTAAACTAAATGGGATGATCTTTACTTCAGACCACCAACAGTAATGTCTAACTCGCTTTACCCTGTTGATTTCACACCATTTCCTACAGCATTCTCCTGGAGAAACTGGCTGCTCATGGCTTGGATGGGCATATACTTTGCTGGGTAAAAAACTGGCTGGATGGCTGAGCCCAAAGTGTTTTGGTGAAGGGAGTTAAATCCACTTGGCAGCCGGTCACAGGTGGTGTTGCCCAGGGCTCAGCACTGGGGCCGGTTCTGTTTGATATGTTTTTCAATTATCTGGAGAAGGGGATTGAGTGCATCCTCAGTAAGTTCGCAGATGACACCAAGTTGGGTGGGAGCGTTGATCTGCTTGAGGGTAGGAAGGCTCTGCAGAGGGATCTGGACAGGCTGGATCCATGGGTCGAGGCCAACAGTATGAGGTTCAACAAGGCCAAGTGCCAGGTCCTGCACTTGAGTCACAACAACCCCAGCCAGTGCTACAGGCCGGCGGAAGAGTGCCTGGGAAGCCACCTGGCAGAAAAGAATCTGGGGGTGTTGGTCGACAGCCGGCTGACTATGAGGTGGCCGTGTGCCCAGTTGGCCATAAAGGCCAGTAGCATCCTGGCTTGTATCAGAAATAGTGTGACCAGCATGATTAAGGAAGTGATCGTCCCACTGTTCTCGGCACTGAGGAGATTCCCCCTCGAGTCCTGTGTTCAGTTTTGGGCCCCTCACTACAGGAGGGACGTTGAGGTGCTGGAGCCTGTCCAAACAAGAACACCAAAACTAGGATCTAGTGAAAAAGTCATTTGAGGAGCAGCTGAGGGAACTGAGGTTGTTTAGCCTGGAGAAAAGGAGGCTGAGGTGAGACCTTGTCACTCACTACAACTGAAAGCAGGTTGTAGTGAGGCAGAGGCTGGTCTCTTCTCCCAAGTAATAAGTGACTTGATAAGAGGAAAAGGCAATTTGTGCCAAGGAAGGTATAGATTGGATATTAGGAAAAATTTCTTCTCTGAAAGGGTTGTCAAGCTCTGTAACAGGCTGCCCAGGAAAGTTGAGTCACCATCTCTGGAGCTTTTTGAAAGAGGTATAGATGTGATGCTTAGGGACATGGTTTAGGGGTGGACTTGGTAGTGTTAGGTTAACAGTTGGACTTGATGATCTTAAAAGTCTTTTCCAACCTAAAAGATTCTATGATTCAAAATAGAGTCAGGCAGGAAGTACCATACGGACCTATTTTGGATGCAAGACTATTAGATACTTTCATAGTGCCTACAAATATATTGGACAGGAATATAAATTCAAAATGCTCTTAACAGAGACATATTAGCCAAACCATGTCCAAGAGTAGCAATGATACAGTAAATGTTCAGTAACGCCAATTTTTAACATTCCTATGTCTTGCTCCTCAGCCGTTCCTTCTCACTTTCAATGTGTACTCTTCATAATCATATGGGGGTGGGCTTTGCTATAAGTGATACCAAAATATAACATCATTGAATGGAAAATTTTAAATCTCAAGTTTTAAATCCAAGTTTAGATTGCAGCCCCTGACCTCCCAAGCCAAAGTTGGTAGCACGTGTTTGGATATGAATGGATGGGCAGGAGCACCTTAGTATCACTTAACTGTAATACCTCATATTTTTTCTAACTAAATTGCAGTCTATTTCTCCAATTTGTCAACGTGATCTGGAAGCTAGAGTTACTGCCAAAAATTTTGAGTTGTGAAGCTACAGCATTAGGAAGAATTAATCATTTCAGTAATCAGCAGTTTTTTTTAAAAAGGCTACAGACATTACCAAAGTTCAGTACAGTCAACACCACCAACTTCTGTGGAAAAAAACCCCTACAACTACCCTGAAACGTCCTAGCATGAAGTCAAGTGGAAAACCATAAAGTAATCACAGCTTGATCACAGGACTGTGACTGATAGAGTGACTTCATGCTGCACAGGTCAGGTTGGGTTACAGGTGTGCAGGACACAGCAACTGTGTCCATCAGCTATCTTCAGGTTACACTACAGTGCGGCAGGGGGCCAGTTCATAATAATACTTACTTGTCTGCTGCATGACATATTGTGCCACATGTGTCAGCCATGTCATCGACAAGAATTGCTACTCTGTCTTTCACGTCACCAACCAAGACCATTCTGTCCACTTCATTTGCCTTCTTTCTTTCCTTATGAATGAGAGCAAATTCCACATTCAGTCTGTCAGCAATTGAAGTTACCCTGTTAGAGGAAGAAATACAACACATTTAGAAAACTATTTTCAAAGAAAGAACAGAGGCATGCACGTGTATTTTTCATAAAATACAGTTTTTGTTTCCTTGCTTTCAAATTCCTGCAGCACAAACTTTTGTTTCTAACCTGTCTCATTACTAGCAATCTTGCTTCACTGCTAATAAATACAACCAGAGAGTCTTAAGCTACACTCCAGAAATAGTTTTTTTTTTTCTTTTATTGAATTGACTTTGCTTTTCTGTTATTAAGTGCCTGGTCTTGCAAACATTTCAGCCATTCACAAGCTTTTGTTAACTTATTGCAATACCTAATCACACACAGGTAATTTAAAGCAGAGGTAGCCTCAATTCTAAGCCAACAGCAGCATGCACTTTAACATCCTAACTGAAAATACCACTGCAGGAATGTGAAAACAAACCAATGGGAAAAACCAAACAAGTTAATAGTGATTAATAATTCTTTTAGCAGTACTTGACTACTAATCAAGTAGCTTACTTCATTAGCAATTCCCTTAGCAATACATCTGCTTGACAAAGATCTTTAAAAACTGTTCAGTGTGACCTCTGGTGGCGAGACAAACCTTCAATAACAAACTTAATTTGTTACAGACTTCTGATTGCTTTTTTGTTTCTGTCGTTTTTGGTTTTTTTTTGTTTTTTTAAAATATCCCAGAGCTGCAAGGTATAAAGACACAGGAATAAACAGCTTTTCTATGCTGCTTCAACCTTGTAGCCTGTCTTTTAGACTACATTTACAATGTTAACAAGGTTATTAACTGCACAGAGAACAGTGTTCTTTACTACTTAAATATGAAAGATTTGTTAGTTACTGCATTTCAACAACTGGGTGATAAGCAAAACCCCAAATGTTCTGGCATTTTTCTGTGAACAATAGTGTAATGTCATAGCAAGTCTCAATAACTCAGAAGCATTAAGATATCAACACAATTTGCATGCTTTATTTCAGTCACAAAATTTAATAAACTGGGAAAAAAGTGCAAGTGTTAAGAAACAAAAAAGAAATCAGATATTTTAAATCACTGCAAGAACATGTATTTTTTAAAAAAAAAATCTTTAACACTTACAGATCTAAATTTTAAAGACAAACTTTCTTCACATTCTGTTCACATTTTATTAACCCAAGTATTATTTTGAAGGCCTACATGTTTTAAATTGAAAAGCCAAATAATTTTTTTTATAATTCTGTAAAGAAATGTAAATAATTTCTTTACATTATTGGAGGTGAAGGAGAAGCTGTGAATTTATTGAAAGCAACATCTTTTCTACTGCAACAGCAAATGCTTGGCTGCACTACAACAGAAAGGTATCACAAATAGACTATCTACTTATGTTAAATAGAGTGAGAGTGGTCCTCAAAAAGAAACTCTCATGATCAACTTGATAATATACAAGTACTTGCCAATGGAAAAAAAAACAGTCTTCTGACTTGAATTCTCAACAAAAGCTGTATTTAAAAAAAAATATAAATAAAAACTGTGAAACAACAGTATTCAGATTGGAACTAACCAATTTAATTGACTGAGTCACCTGAATTTTAGAATGCTTTCTATAGTTCATATTCTCCAGATCTTTAACTTGATTAATCTACACAGGAACAACTATGAAGTTCTAATCAGTCTTATCTCCCTATTAATTATTAGAAGATGAACACTGACAAAAGACCCAAGGACTTCAGTTAAAAGCAACTTATGACAGTCTTTCACATTTTTCCCTATACTACATTCCAAACATTTAAATTACTATGGGCTTACAAGATTCTTACTTCATTTGATTGTTCCCAATCCGGTTTGTAGCAGCATCATGACCACTAAAACTTGAGACTAAGCATTTCACTTCAATGGCATGTTTATCACCCCATCAGCCAGCATGCTTATGAGATTTTACATTAGTTTATTCACAATAGATAGCAAATAAAATTCTGCTAAATGAGTATCACATGCTGCAGATGAAGAAACACTCCAATGAACTAACTTTTCTATTTTCACCTTTTGCCACTGAAAACAAAAACTTCACTCCCTTTTTCCAGTGTTTACAGTGCACAACTTAGGGTCAACAGGTTTACAGCTGGAATGCAGTAACATAAAGAAAGAAGAAACACGACTCAAGCAAGCTCTTACCTAAATGCCAGCAGGTATAGGCCATATGCTTTGACAGAGAAGGGAAACTTAGGCAATTCCAGAGCGAAGCAGGAAGAGGTGCAGCAACTGGACTAAAAAAAGCAAGCAGCAGGAAAAAATCTCTTCCCTCCTGCAGAGGGATACAGCTAATGAGGCCATATCCAGGGAGAGAGAAAAAGATATTCTTTAGAGTACAGAAAGCTCCTGGATGTTTTCAAGCATGAACAACATTGAAAGAACTATTCTGGTTTTACAATGCAGTTGGATTCATCAGTGACGCACCCTGTATCTTGCACAATTCAGAGGAAAAGAGAAGACTAGGCAAACTAGTTCATTAAGCACTAACAGTTTTAGGCTTGTATAGTACCTTTTTGCACCACCTGCATCAGGTGAGACTATGATACAATTTCTCCACTCCAAAATATTCTCTTTAATCCATTGCAGCACTGCGGGTTCTGCATACAGGTTATCTACTGGAATGTCAAAGAAACCCTGTCCAAAATAGAAAATTTCATAAATGCATGTTTATGTCTTACTGGGAACAAAGACACAGTGAAAGAATCAAGCCTTTGCCTTTCATATATGGTAGAACTTTAATTAGTATTTTACACTGGCCAAACTCTGCCCTCTGATATTACTATCAAATGCAGCAGAAGTTAGACAAAGATCTCTAAAAATCTCACCCAAGAGTAGTGAAATAAAAACCAGCTGTTCTCAAATGATATAAAAATCAGAAAAAGATCACCTTTAGGTACTCATGTAAATTCATGCTTGTGAAAAGCTCTCCAAAAAAATCCAGTGAGTAATACTCAGCTTCCATAAATTTCAACTGCTTCAAATGAACAGTAGTATTTCAATATGGAGAAGATTCAAGTTAGTATTACTTGAGCAGCAGAAATGGAATCTTTATTTTTGTGCAAGTTATAATGCCAAGAAATCTGTTAGACCACAAATGAAACTGCTTTTTATTTGCATGACAGCTATCTAGCATAATAGGAAATTCTGATTAAATAGAACACCAGAACTGGTAGAGAAGGCATTTTCTAGAAAAAAACAAGATATCTTGAAAAGATGTACACGTGAGAATAACAAATTATGTTTGCTCCAAGGAAACAGTTTTATGATTTGCTGGATTCAGCAGTAAGCCATCTAAGGGTTGCCAGCCTCCACCTCTACTTCTCTTAAGAGAATATTGTCCCCTTGGCCATAACAACAAAACTGTATCTAGGGCAATACTATAAACTCTGACCAGGCCAAGATTACAAGAACTTGCCCCAAACCAGTATATTTTATGTTCTGGAAGCTCTTGCACTAGACTTGGCAAATTCCACAAAAGACTCTAATGCACAAGTATTCAAAGTGCTGGCAAAATCACCCCATAAAATCAAGGCTGGTCTCTTTCAAAAAGGGGATATAATTAGCAACAGGTGGTGAGACTTTCTCTAACCACTGAGAATTACAATTCTGTACATAGCCTTTCAAAACAATGAGGAAAAAAACCAGAGAATCAATACTAGCTTTTCCCACTGATTCAGTAGATCCCCTAGTCACAGTTAGCAAGAACCAATGGTTACCTGGATCTGAGAAGCATGCAAGTCCATGGTGATGATGTGGTCAGCCCCTGCAACTGACAGCATGTTGGCAACAAGTTTTGCAGAAATTGGAGCACGACTCTGAGGAATAAAGCACAAATGTTTAATTTTTAAAATTATTTTGGCTAGATGCAAGGAGTCAGAAAATTAGCTACTACTTTTGGTTTTTTCCTTTAAAATATTTGGAATCTAGGTATGAAGAGCTACAGAACTGTCAATAGCTAATCTTGCTACTAGGGTTTTGAAACTCAGCAAGACATTTTGGAATATCTAAATCAGTTTGCACAGTCTGCCTAATAATGCTTTGTAGCAATTAAGCTGACTAACAAGCAGATAAAATTGGGGATAAAATTTTCCAGTTCTTCCATTTAAAGCTTTCAGTTAGCCTTTCTAGAGCAGAAGGACAGATAACGTTCATTTCTTTAAGCCACTACCCTACATTAACATCCAACTCTCAAGCAACTATCCTGTTCTAAATAATGCTGCCAAAACCACAGATTGAAGGCAGAGTGAACTCAACTTTTGAAAGCACTGCTTTAGAACAAAGTTAGTATCAAGCATTTCCTCACAATACAGTAAAGCTTGTAACAGATCTATGTTGGCAGGGATCTTCTACCCTGGCCTATCTATTTATTCTTTTTCACTAATTCAGGCTTAATTGTTGAATGCAATTAGGATTCTAGAATTCCCAAAAGGGACAGGGGGGTGAAAAAAAACAGAAGTGGAAAGAACAAAAGAGCAAAAATCTAATTAGAAAAGTTAATGCCAATGTCAAGAGCTTTTAAAAAGTGACAAGGATGCAAAATGAACAGCAACACAAAAAAAGAAAAGATGGAGAATAATGACTGGAGGGTACCTTGAGCAACGCCAAAGTTTCTTCAGATTATTTTTAAGCTCTGAAAAAAGCTATGTTGCCCTAGACAGCTTCTCTATAACAGAAATACTAAACAAACCCTTATGTTTTCCTTTTGCCAATCTTTAAATAAGGCTAATAGCTGGCAATAACATTAGCATGAAGGCAGAACTGCAATTCAGAGATTCCATCTCATTGTCAGACTGTTTTTGCTGGCACAGTATTCTCACTTGCTACAGCTCTTTATCAAACAGGCTCATTTAGCCTCCTAGGAACTCCCTCTTCCTCCACCCTATAGAATTTCAGAGTATATCTGCTCTCCTTCCACTGATGTTTAAGGGCATAACCTAAAATAAGTGGAACCACTGCCAGTTTAACCTGGATGCTTTTCTGTCTGTGTCACATCAAGGAGTCAGTATTTTCCTCAAAACTTTTGCTAATTTTGGCAGAAATTTGGCATTTCTCTGTTTTAAGATTGCCAGCATACTTCCAGCAAAGAAACTGAGATGTTGCAATCTTTCTTATGGCTGGATCAAGTTTATTATCTTCATTACAGAAATGCTTCATTTTGAAAGCTACCCCTTTTGGCTTTAGTGGTGATGTTCTGTGAAACAATTTGGTCTGTATAAGATATACAGAAGGTATATACAACAGCTACCACTTCCCTAGGTCTCTACAATTCAGATGCATATAACTTCCATAAGAGCTTGCTGTCATTAGCACTTCAGCACAGATGATTTTCCAGTTACTGAGGACTACACTGCTCCCCATTTAAAGCCAGTTCTGTAAGGTCCTAGTTGGCCAAAGCTTTCTGGATATTTCTTATTATTTGTAGTAAACTTTTGGCTCAGGCCATTCAAATTACTGATCACTTCAGCTCATCTTAGTAGTACTAACTGTCACTTTTAAGCTGGGTTTCAAAATATCCTGAAACCTCTGGCAGCATGTAATAAACCAAATCAAATAAAATCTAACAAATTTAATACAACAAATCTACTCTTTTGACTCTACCCCAATGTTCTCTTAACAGCTCTTTGCAAAGATCTGGTTTCATGCTACACCTAAGTGGACTAGTAGGTGATGCCGAAACCAGGAGTTTTGCTCCCCTGCTTGTCCCATTCCCTTCCTCCCAGGCAATACACTTCCACCTCTTCCCTTGTGCTGCACCCTGGGACTTGTCTGAACTCACAGCAGACAGATGAGGCAGCTAAATGGAAGAGAAGGGAAAAGATGGCAAACCAGGATCACCCCCTCTGGCAGAAACAAGTAACTAGTTCAGGCTAGCTGCTAAAGGCAAATTACATTCTTCTCAGAACATGGTTTGCCATTTCCATTCCATCCAGCATCCTGAATTTTGTTTTATTTTTTTTTCCCATTTCTGTTCAATGTGAGTAACACTTAGCTTGTCTCATGAGTACATCCCAAAATACTTTCCTGCATCAAATACTAATGTATACATTACCAGTTGGTACTTCTTTCAGCTGCTGGCCTTGCAGGCTGCCTTCCCAGAAGGAAGAACTTGGAGGTTTTACCACTAGGTAACTTGTTTTAGCAGACATGTACGCATCACAGATTGCCTACATGTTGATGGACAGAGGATCTTGGAAGGAAAGATAGCCAGACACCAATACCTGTTTCTCAAGAATGGGCTAACAGGAGATTAAGACAAATGAAGCTGGCAGCTATCTGACAGTTTCCTTTACACAAAATTGTGCATTAAAGAAAATACATGACACGTTCAAGAGGATTTAAAATTTGATTGCTTGCACGGAAAATAAGTTGTGTGCTACAATATGATCCAAATTGAAGATTATTTTAAAATCAAAGGGAGTATATTCATGGTAACCTCAGACAACCCGGCCTCATTATTCAGAAACTTGGATGACAAAGGTAGATGAAAACTTAAGATTTTTATTTATCTTGGCATTCGTAAAGTTTGCTTCTTATCAGAGAGGCAAGAACACAAAGATTCAGAATATTCATTGTTCCATTCTTTGACACAATTTGAGATTAGTTTCAGAATTATTAGTGTGAAACACAACATTACATTATGTACAGAAATTGAATTGTAAAAAAAATAAATAGCTGAGTTTTTAGTTCCGAAGCAAACTCCCCGCTTTGGTATAACAAGTTATATAAATTATTTCCTCCTTTGTGATGCATTACACATTTATTCACTATTCTTAAAGTTACCAGCAGCAGGGGAAAATCCACAAGGCTAATATAAACTCAGAACAGTAACTATGCAAAGGACACATAGCTGAAAGTAAAAGCTGTCCATCAAGATTAAAACTCTGATATCTTTAAGGATCTTATAACATTGTCTTGCTCAAAATGCATCACATGTATACTGAACAAAAAAAAATAAAAATCCAAGGAACTCCAAAGTTTTATAACTGGAACTTTCATTTCCAAGAAAGCCAGTTGTGAACTATATGGATACTGGATGTTCACTAATGTATTACCTAAATTAATCATTTCAAAAATGAGATACTCCTTGAAGCTTCAGCAGTTGACAGCCATTATCTTGAATGTCCAGATTAATTTTTAACTGGAAGCTAGGAGTTTTCTGGTAGCAAATTATTCCACAAGATTACTGTCATGGCCTAGGTGAAACACAACTGAAATCAAGAAGTGAAACTGAAAACATTCCCAGTTATACATAATGTAACCCAGTAAGTTTCACCCTTTAAGGCCATATTAATGGAAATGCATAGCATGAGATTAAAAAAAAGGATACCTACCCAACGCTCCACGGACCCCTTCTACAAATCAAAAAAACAAGGTTACATGAGCTGTAGAACACCAAACTCACCTGTCACTCTACTTCTAACTTATCTCAAAAGCATCTCTTCAGCATCCTACATGAATGTGTTCTGCCCACATCTTGGAAGGTTAGCATAATTAGAGGATGCATAAATGTAACTGTGGCCAAAGAACAGATACACCTGAGGTAATTTTAAATTAGCCAGCTTGTATACCAGAAGTATTCTAGTTTATGGCAGTGCTTGACTGCAGCTAAATTAGTTACTAACATTTCTATGATTCTCAGCAAGCCTTTTTTCTTTTTTTTAAGCCTCTGTTTCTCATGTAAAGCCAGTCCAGGTTTAATGCTAAGATTTCCAGGATAGATTACACAGGCCTTGTTCAGAATATGATTTTTTTACTGCAAGTCTGTTTCCTGAAATAAGTAAATGAAGAGCACTTTCATTGCTCTCAGAAATCATAACTGCAACAGAAGCATGAAGAATACAGGGTTATTTCAAGCAAGGATTCAGTCTATTTAGCTCTTTACAGATTAAAGTCAACAACTTAAATTCAAACAAGAAAACAGCATCCAGCTAGTGAAGATGATACTGCTTCAGTTCGTAGTCAAACCACAGCAATATCTTTCACAAGAGAGGAAAATCTGTGTGCAACCATAGAAAGAAAATGGCTGGCACTTTGCTGACACTTCAGGCAGCATACAAAGTTTGTGCACTCAACATGGGTCAAAGACCAACTGATGTGATGCAATCCAACAGCGGGAGGAAAGATCTCCCTGTCAATAAGCTGCCCAATGTTGACAGCTATATTATAGCTTATTTTGCAACATGGAGGTCAACTACCAAGGTTAATTTCCAAAGACGACAAACATTTTCTCAATTGCAAAACAGAGGTTAAAAAGAAAGAAAAAAGAAATGGTTTGCGTAGAATTGCAGAACTCAGTGACACCCAGAGAACAGTCTGGAATATTGTTCAAAATATCTGTTAATCAAAAGCGCTTTTGTAGGCTATTCTATATCTTCAGATGGCATTTCCAAAAGGCAAAAGGCTCCTGGGTGGCATGCTAGTTTACCACGCTGTGGGTTTTAAGTGTCTCTTGGAAGTCTGCCACACAGATTTTGGGTACCCCAGACAGGGTATAACCTAGATGCATGGAAAACTTGGCATATGCCCATCCTTTTCTCACACCAAGAACTTACAGGATGGTCCAGCAGACTCTTCCAATAGAAATCTGGAAATCAAAACCTAATGAGATTTCCTTCTCTTTCAACAAAATGTTTATCATTCCCCTTTTAAGTTCTTTTGATAAAAAGAAGTCTGTCAGTTTCCTGATTGAGGGAGAACATTATTCAGCACAAAACACAGCAAAAATGAAGTTCCAAAACCTGTATGCAAAGAATAGGGAGCTACTATTTAACACCTGAATTCGTTTTTGGAAGTATAACAAGTGGGTCTTGATAATACTAGTATGGCCTCAGGGAGCTTGCACTTAAAGAATGACTATACTAGAAATAACTTTTCTGTATTTAGCTTTGTTCTCAGACCTTGCAGGCTGATCATTACATATTTTGTAACATCTGCTATTATTTTTAGCTTCTGCATTACTTCCCAGTCCTGCTATGTTTTATATAAAAGAATGTAAAGAACAACAGAAGCCTTTCAGGATGGTTTTCTTGATGCCCAAAGTGGAAGGGAGAGGGCAGCCCATTTATAAGAATTATCGGAGCGAGGGGCAATTTTCCAAAAAGACAACTATTGCAATCCATTCTTAAAAGCCAAATTCACATTTATTCTTGTTAGCTCTTTTCAAGTGAGTTTAGGTAAAAGTAATAGTCACATAACATATTAGAGTGTTTCAGTATATACAGTGGAGCTAGGAAAGTTTAGTTCCATGTTTTTTAAATCAAACTCATTTGTCACAGAGAGTCTGTTGCTATGTTATCAACTTGGCTGAACTGGTATATTCATCAGTTAGAGCAGACCAAATCCGGGAAAAGGGCACTAAACTCAGAAGAGGATTTATGGGATTTCTATACAATTTTTGGTGTGCATCAATAAAAATAATTATGGATATAAAAACTTTTTTTAAGAATCTGCCTCGCAGCATAAAATAATGTTTTTATGAATTAAGGTTATGCATTGTATATTTACTCAGCTCTTTCCATTTGGCTCTGTTTAACCACAGAGTAAAACCCACCTACATAATGGGATTTAATTCCATGCAATTAAAATGTTTAAAAGTTTGTGCTCTCTTCATGTATAGAGGTTAAAAAAAAAGGCAGCTAGAAAAAGCAGGAAAAACAGTCCTGTGATGTGAGGCTTCCTAGCAGAGTACTTTGCAATACACCACACACATAGGATGTGCCTTCTTTTTTAAACTGAAGGTGTGTCAATTATCAAGCAAAAAAATTCATTGTCTCACTTCCTCCACCTATATATGATACCATTGAACATTTTACCAAAAAAGGATGAAAAAAGCACAAATCTTTCAAATCACTTGAATGTTTATGAAAATATGTTTCATCTCCAAAAATTTCAAGTGAACAAGTTGAAACAAAAGCCTTCCAAAATTACACAGTTCTTACCTACCTTATCTTTCTTATCTTGTCTGGCATATGGAAAACATGGAATTACGGCAGTCACTCTGGAGGATGATGCAATCTTGCAAGCATTGATCATGATAAGCAGTTCCATTAAGTTGTCATTTATTTCTCCACAGCCACTCTGGATGATATATACATCTTCTCCTCTCACGCTTTCACCAATCTCTACACTGAAAGAGCAGGAGATGACCATTTAAACACTTGAATTGCTGGAAAAGCATTATTAAAGAATACAAAAATCAGGTTTGTTTTAACAAACTTCCATACATTTATACCCATTTAAATTTTTTTTACAGCAGTTTGGATAACAGTCCTCTTGATACAAAGTCTATTTCAATGTAAACCAGCCTAAAATTTACTTCAGCATAAATATGGTCTTCATAAGGTCAGCACCAAACAACACATTATTACGGCTACAGCACTGACGCAGCTGACATTGTTATTGAAGTTGAGGCTGCCTTTTTTGGTTTAGTCTGTGTATTGTGTGTCCTTGCCATCCAAGGAGATGACCATTTAAAGAATAACCTACACGGTAAGAACAGAAACGGAGTCAATTTTAGAGCATTAAATACTACCTGCACCAAAATACCTCCTTAAGAAGGGCAGCTATTTTTCTACAATAATTGTTACTAAATTCAAGGAACTACTATATTTTAGAAGAGAGAAGTATCAAACCACACCCCAAAAGCAGAAGTCTAGTTAAAATCTACACTAAGTAAAGCAATTTACACTTATGTCCAAGTAAAGTATTTTTTAAAAAAATAAACTCTTAGAGAAAAACTAAGAGGGCTGCTCATCAACGGCTCAACATGAATCAAGAACTCTCACATTCTGTCAGTTGTTCTATTTGCTGTAACAGCACTTAGATACTTTGATTCCTTATGGTAGTATCAAAGAGCTATTTTATTTTTACACAGATTTCAAGTTAAATTTTGGTGCTAATCAGTACTCATATCACAGAATTTAATAATTAAATAGAGCTTATTAATAAAGAGGAAAATATATCTGTTGAACGTGGGTCCTTTTTCAATTGTAGACCCAAGCAAGAGAAATCTATTGTTGACCCACACTAACTTCTCACATCTGTTACTCCAAAGCTTAAACATAAAACCAGCAGACTAACCTTCATTTTCCCCTGACTCCATGCACAACGTCCAAGAAACATCCAGTCTTCCTAAATAATTAGGCAATCAGATCTTTCAAACTCATGCTACTACTAAGGTACTGCTAAGTAGTAGCTTTACTAAAGTACTACTAAGGTAGTCTTAAGTATTAAATGCTAAAATATCCTAAGCCCTTATCTAAAAGGTTGTCTCTTTACCCAACACACAAATAAGCAAAAGCTTCTAGCTGGCAACCATCCAAATGGCCCAGATGTGGCTAAAATAGTTTCTCTGATGGGTCCTTCAATGCTGAGGCTTGTTCTAGTCCACCACAGTCTGAACAACTTTTGCTTATCAGCTTTCAGGGTGCTGTGTAAGACTCATTTGTTTTCTGTAGCTACAAAACACAGAAAAGAATTTACTGCTTAAAAACATCTTAATGATATGCAAACATTTCATTTATCAGCATCAAGATAGTTGAGTCCATGCTCTCAGATCCCCTATTTGACTCCTCTGCAGTCCCAAACAAGCTATAAAAAGAAAAATCCTGTCTTAATTTTTCTCCTTAATTGAATAATTTTTTTTTTGGCCTAAGAATGCTACTAGCAGGATTTCTTAAGGTCAAAGAAAGCAAACCACCTATCAAACACCAGGAAGGACAAAGGTGGTCAGGGACAGCATTATCTGAAAATATGTCAGTATTTATCCGGGAAACCTTTTGGAGGCTTTCATCATGGCACAACGACAATTCTTTGGTCATAAAACCTACATCCCTGTTCAAGTTTTGATCAACAGTATAGGGCTGTTCAGAGAAAACTGCTTTGATCAAAATATTTTCTTTGTTTGTTTTCTTTTGGAGCTAAAAAAGTTTTGATCGACATAAGTTCAGCAAGACACTAAGCATATTCCATAATTGGAAGAATTGGTCAGGCTTAATCATAAACCCTACCAAAGACAGTACTGGTGTTGGAATATCAGGTTCCACTTCCCAGAAGAATAAACAAATAAAGTAAGAGGTCTGTTATTGTTCCGAACATACAAATCCAGCTCAGAGTAAAGCATCTACCCTCTAGTTTACAGACACAGCCTCAGTCATCATTAGAGATTCACAGTTATTGTTATGAGGACTCTGAAAAATAATAATTACCACTTGACTCAGCACTTACACAGACCTGCTTAATAACAACTGTTGTGACATACCACACTACCACATGCAAAAAAAAAAAAATCTATGGCACCTCTTTCAACCTAAGACTGTAGTTACACTCCAGTTCTGAAAATTAAAGTAGGAACCATTACAAAAAAGAAAGTTAAAAGACTAAGAAGAAAACACTGTCAATTTTCAGGGGAGAACATTATTGGAGTGACAAAGAATGGCAGAATAAGATTTTAGTATTTGGGGGGAAAAAAGCAACCATTTGTTTTGTTTTATGCAATAGGAAGAAAACTTTGCTGAATGACAAAAACAGATGATCTTAATGTTCATTACATGCACAAAGAGCACACAATTATAACACTCAGAGTTGTTTTGCTCCTTTAAAAGCCAGTAATTTCTAAGCACACTGCTAAGAAATAATAGGTTTCAGAAGGTCAGGGAATATACTTTGAGATAAATATAGATCTGGTTAATACAATGGACGTTAAGTGATGCTTCTTCCATTGCCGTTAACTGTTTTCAATGACCTTGGGCTAGCAATGACTTTTTCATCTTGTAAACAGCTTAAAAAACAAAAATGCTTCTACCTTCTCTCTTGGAGCATTTGAAGAGCTTTTGGTTACACTTTTCAGGCCAGAATGACATGCTTATTTGGCACACAAATGTGAAAGTATGTGTAGTATATAGAAATAACTTCTGTGTCCACTAGAAGAGATATCTGAAAACTAAAATAAATCAAGCTTAAATTAATACTTGCATAGCACTCAGGACTAACGCAGCTAAAGGTGTCTAAGAATAACATTATGAGATTATTGCACAAAGTTCTTCCCCCAATCAACTGGAGACATCCGTGCAACAGATCAGTATCTCTTACTATCTACCTACTCAGACTGGTATTGAGATGTATTGTGTACACTCAACCAAAAGGCACACTGGTGTCTATTTTACCTTCATCGAGCCACACAGTAAAAGATAACCAGTCACTGCATTACAACTATTCCATCAGATGTTGTCCGTACTAACCACATTGGGGTTTTTTTGGGTGTTTTTTTTTTTGTTTGGATGTGTGTCAGCAGTTTGGGGGTTTTTGTTTGTTTTTTTTTTCTCGCCTTTTTAATTTGTTTTACACAATCAGCTATAAAAACTTATAATAAGAGACTATAAACTATAGTATCAGATACCTGAAGCATTCCACTTCAAATATCTATTGGAGAACACAAAGGTAACAGCACTCAAGCTTTGTGACAGTTATCTTATTGACGTTACTACTAAATTCCACTTAGACCATCTATATCATGACCCAATTAACTGTTTGGGGGACTTGTTTAAACAGTTTCAGACAGTGAGGACACAAAGGACATAAGAACAAGCTCTTCCCTCAAGATCACAAGATCTGTTTGTTTTATGCAATTTTATCAAATTCAGCTATTTGGTAACACTCAGTTTAAATAAACTTCTTGTTCAAGAAAAGTCAACAGAACCTGCACATTAAAAGTCCTGACACCACACAATTGCATTCTAAAGTAAAAATTATAGAAATTAATACCCCACAAAAGTAAATTTACTATTAGAGCCAGTTGCTTGGAATCCACAAGCACAAGGCTTGAGCCGGGAAAGACAGGCTTAAGTGAGTAAAGACATGACTAAAACCAAGTTTGAGTGTTGGTATCTGCCTTCACCTTGCAAAGGTTGATGTGAGAGTTCAATTTAGTAGGTAGAAACTTGGAGAGACTAATTACCGTGAATTAAGGGTAAGGCTCAAAACCCACTTACATTACAAACATATTGCAATGGATGAAGCAAAACTCAAAATCAGGAGTAACAGCAGGCAGAACTCTGAGCTAGATTTATAGTATGCTCCCAACAAAACTTACAGTGACGGAAATTTCAAATTTTTACATCCTAAGAATACAGTTGTGCGGAAGCAGGGGAATAAGTATGCAGAGCCAGATTAGAATGGTAAAAAATGTAAATCTGTAACTAGGATTCTGTTAAAATCATGCACTTAAATGGGCTCTATGTTTCTTTTAAAGTATTTACAACAGATTAAGTTTCTAGCCATGTTTACAAGTAGTAAGATTTCTCAAGCAATTTACATGCCAATGAAGTAGATGTGTAGTCCAGGCACCAGAGAAGAGGCCATAATTTAAGGTCTAGAGTCCTCATACAGTGTGCAAAAATAATCAATATCTCAAAAGTAATCAAAAAATCCACATGCTGAATTTGCAATTCATTGAAACCCAGCCAATGGAAAGCACTATGCAGAGGGGTGTGTTTGACCTCTTACCTTTGGGAACACATTTTGCAGCATAAAGTCTTTTAATGCAAGACCTCCAACTTACTGGGCAAATATTTTGACTGCCATGACTTTATATAACAGAGTTGGCACCAGCAAAGCCCAAAGCAACAAAGAAACAATAGAGGTGACAGAGTTAGTTTTAAGTCTATAGGTATCCTCTTGGCACCCATGGTCTCCCCTTAACTCCAGGCTCTTCCACTTGGATTAACAGCTCCAAGACCAACCCCCAGTTAGATTTTCATGGACAACTGCCTTGTCCTAATGGTGGGTACTGGCATGGTGAGCGCCACAAGACAGGAAATATCTTCTTAACCTCCACTCTAGCACACAGCCTGCCACCACAAATGAAAAACACCTTCACATGAGCAGCTCTGTATTGAGCCATGTGCAGTCCGAAAGGAACCCTCAGAAATTTGGAAACAAAGGTCTAACAAGCCTGAGCAGGTGCAGAGAGTCTCCAAAGGCTGAGTGCCAAACACTGGAGGTAAGGACATATGGGATTGTCAGCCATTATTCACACAGATCAGTTTTTGGTTTTAAATCTCAAGCATTTAACATCTTAGAGAGGTGCACAGTGTACAGGAAGGTCAATAAAGTGGAAGTCTCAAACCAAAAGCTTTGAAGCATTTTTGGCCTTTTTGTGATTCAGAGCAATGAGCTATGTGATAAAAGGTCATATTTGCTACATCTTCAATCCCCTATATAAAAAACACACTCAACATGCAATCCAGAAAGATTTTTTATCTTACTCAACCAAGGTGGTAAAATCTGTTTCTCCAGCCCCCACCCTTGCTCATGACAGCAGTGAGCAGGGAGTGAGAGAAAGAGCCACCTCTGCTGCTGCAGGCAGGGCACAACCCTGGCTGTGAATCACTCTCTCAGCAGCTGGGTAGTATGAAGAGACACTTCACCTCCCAGCACATCCCTACTCCCTACCGCCTTCAGCCAATTTATCACCATCTGAGCTTTCTTGCTCCTCCATTAGGGGTCTGCAAACACCATAACCATCTATTCCAGTGAGAGTGATACAGCTCATGGCCCCTGCAGCAGCCAAACCCAAAGGAACCAGGGTACAGGACACGTCACAAGGTCATGTCTCATCTGAGACAACTGCAGTAGAAGAGCTGGAGGATGCTGGAGGGGAGATGGGAGAGAAATGTTACATGCCAGTGCTGAATTCTGCGTTCCTGATATCAAAGTTTCCAGGTTTGATCCTGATTTTTTTCAATTATTTACTTCATAGAACAAACTGTTTTCATTACCCTGCTTTGAGTGAACTAGAAACTGACATCCATCCTTGTAAGAATTCTCCAAGCAAACATCAGCTATTTTTTTTCCTACCTTCCAAGATTAAACTTCAGTCCAAGACACCAAGATACTTTTATCCATTTACTTACAAGTAGCCCTCATATCAATAACAGAGCTTTTCCCATACAGCAAATAACATCCCTTTGTTGTTCAACTTATATTTTCCTCTGTAAGAGCTGAACAGCATCAACTTAAGTTGACATTTCTGAAACCACCCAGCTTCAGCAGTTAAATAGGGCTGCGGGTAGGCAGCTCCAAATTGACATGTGCCAGGCAGGACTTCAATTCCCTTCCTCATGCATCTGTTGGGAAGATCTGCAAGACTCCCTTCAGCCAATGAATCTGACAGAAGCAGCAAGGAAGCTCCCAGCAATGGGTGTGGGGACTAACTACTTCCTCTGGGAGAGACGTGTATAAGAGGATGCCATCTATGACTCCAGTGATGGACACTCAATGATCATTTTGTTAAACCAGCTCTGGGATTTAATTGTGTATCAACTACAATTAAATGCCATCTCAATATATTTGGAGACAGTTTTGTGAAAAATTTCAGAGCATTTAGTATCTGTGTGCTTCTGTTACATGTTTGTCAGAGTTTCATGATGTGGAGGCTACAACAGGCATGTCTGTTTAAGGACCTCCATTCTTTTCCTCTTCCTCTAGCCTGCCAAACTCTGCTGATGACAGTTGCTTGTGGGGTTTGAAGAAGATAAACTGACTGAGCTCCCACTGAAGCCCTAACATTTTGCCAGATAAGTGAGAAGGTGGTGCCACCCAAGCTCCTACCATGACACTGTGGCTGGCATTTAATTGACATGCAAGCTTTGAATACTAAACAGAGTTATCTTCTACAACCAGATATTATTGAGGAGCTCTCTCACTGCTTTAGTTAGGGCTGCTTGACTTCAGTAGTCACCTGAAGGAAAGCATTTCCATACGATTTGGATGGCAGGAAAAAATGGGGCAGTTGTCAAGTCTACCTGCAATTTCCCATCTCTTCATCTAGCCCAGGCATTACCTTAGATCTGTGAGAATACTGAATGCCTAAAACAGAAAAGAACAGGAATATTGCTAGATATGCTAGTCCCAGTATAAATTTAGAAGAGAAGCTTTTCCAATTTTAAAGGCTCTGGAGTTGGGAGCATACCTGCCCATTCAACACACTGCTTGTCAGTGGTGGTCCTATCCCTGCTAATGCTAACCTCAGGGTACAGCTTTAGTTCCTCAAACCCACTTATATCTGCTAAGGCTTGGGACTGAGACCTAAAGCCTGTCTGAGTGGAAATATAAGGCAAAATATTTCATGACTTTTCCTTCCATTGTATTCTGCAAGCCAGAATCTAACTGACTTCAAGTAAAAGGTTTCCACCTAGTACCCCCTTGACAAGGATTTAAACCCAGGGCTGAATGCATTTATCAATTTGCATGTAACTTACATGTAAGTTTCAGAAAACATAGCAAACAGCAAAACAGTTTTCAAACAAACAGTGAATCTTCTCTGCAACTTGCTAACGCAACAGATCTGACAAAGCAAGAGTTTGTTGACCCTCAGGCCGAGGCTTATCTGTTTGCTCAGAGGTTTGCCCGAGTGCCATTGGGAAGGTTTAAGGTTCTTTGAGCATTTTAACCATCACGTTCTAGTATTCTGCAATATTGTAAGTGTATTTTGTAATGTCAATACACTTGTTTATAAATTTAAAAATGCAACAAAAAGAAGGAAAAAAAAAGACTGTGCTGGATTATCTTTCTATATAAAGAAATGGAGTTTCGCTTACATATGCACACAAACTTTGCTATGCAGACAGACTGAAAATCCAGGTGTCTCAGGAAAGGACCACTACAGTATAAATATCTTAACTTTAGCCACAGTTTAATTTAAAATACATTGTTGAGGAATTCTTTTATTACTAATGGGGATTTTCTTATTATGAACATGAGTCTACAAAACTGGAAGGCAACATCCTGAAATAAGTTGCTAATGTTTTAAGTGGGTAATCTTTTCAATATCCTTATGTAGTGGGTGCAACTCTACTTGCTGAAGGGGAAACAGGACCTTCATTTTAGAATCTCAAAAGCATGAGGATTTAAAAAAAGGAAACAAAAATAAACACTTAAGGATTTAAGGTGTTAAGGCATTTTAACGTCAGGGAAAAAGAAAAAGAAAGGGAAAAAAAACCAGACAATGCCAGCCTCTCAGGGTTACAACAGAAGCAACCAGAAAAAATGTTCAGGCGAGATACATACCTCGTATCTACACCACACTACATCCCTACTTGCCTAAGAAAATAAACTGGCACTGCTAGATTAGCCAAAGCACTGACATGCTGCAATCACCACTGCCTACTTGCTTAATGGCAGAGGCCAATATTGAACACCTGGAAAAATAGGTGTAATGACAAAGATTATTATTGTGTCCTGAAGCCTAGAATTAACTTACCTCATAAAATAAATATGCAAACTTTGAAGATAAATTTCTACCTTGGATAAAATCCAAATCAGTTAATCTCTGCTTAAAACATAGCAAACAGCACAACTAAAGGTAAGTGTCTCTGGAGAACAAACATTTTAAAAAATAGACATAAGTTAGCAAGAAAGTCATGCCACCAAATACACAAATTAAGTTTTATCATGCAGAAAAGAGATCAAAGAGCAATAAAGTGAGTATGGGGCTGGAAAGACTTGAGAGAAGATTTAAACCTTCATTTAATCAGGAATGAATAGAAGAATAAACACCAATGGAAGAGGGTTTATAGTAATGCCAGTGAGCATAACTAGAACAAGAGCAATTAAACCGAGAATGCAAAAACATAGACAGAATAGAAGGACAAGCTTTGAGAGAGCAATTTTAGAATACACCATGTTAATCTTTCACAGGAAGCAATGAAAACACGCTTGTTCAGGAAATTCAGAACAAGAACAGATGAAAATAAACATACAATAACTTCAGAGGCTAGCCAGATACCTGCAGTGAGGAACTCGTGTTTCAGAACCAGCTGGCAGCCCAGGCTCATACACTTATACAGAAAAGCAGCTGCACAGTCTCACCAGCTCATGGGACAAATGTACAGCTGCCACCTCAATTTGAAGCCCTTTATTAAAAATGAGTAAATAAAACACGTGGGTCAGAAAGCTGAGAAACTGGCTAAAAGAGGCAATGTTGGTAGAAAAAGCCCTGGCAAGTGCATTCTCAGAGAGTCAAGGCGAGCAAACTATCCTTATGGTTTCACGGAATTCTCAGAGTTGGAAGGGACCATAGGGATCATCTAGTCCAACTCCCCTGCTGAAGCAGGATTGCCTAGAGCATGTCAGAGCATGTTACTCAGGACTGCATCCAGGTGGGTCTTGAAAATCTCCAAAGAAGGGGACTCCACAACCTCCCTGGGCAGCCTGTTCCAGGGTTCCGTCACCCTCACCGTGAAGAAGTTTCTCCTCATATTTGAGTGGAACCTCTTATGTTCCAACTTGTGCCCATTGCCCCGCATCCTCTCACTGGGAACCACTGAAAAGAGTCTGGCTCCCTCCTCCTTCAACCCTCCCTTGAGATACTTAAAAGCACTGATAAGGTTTCACGCAGGACATTTTGCACTGTGATCAGAGTCACTCTCTGCATTTTGCTGGCCAGGAGCCTAACACACCTGCACTTCCAGCAGTGAGCCCAGGCCACCATACCAACTGTATTATCCTCATGCAGGACCAAGAGCCTGGGACAAAGCAGGGGAGCCACACAGGAGCTGTGACTGGTGTCACACACGCACAGCTGGCTGCTAATACAAATTAAAGACCAGTCACAACAAACCCTCAAGCATGATTTGACCCAGGCTGTTTTTTCAATAACCTGATCCATCCTCATCATCCTGTCCTTACATCCACTCACACACAGACCTACTTAGGAAAATGGTGTAATGCACTCTAATCCTTCACATCACGACAATTTCACCTTTAGGGAGACGAACCGTTTCATTAATTAGCTGCGAAGGCTGGGACGAACCTCATGCTGCAGGGAGGCTGCCCGTGGCCAATTCCACCCGCACCCCACTGGAGGATGCTCTTCACCTGCGCAGGGGGACTTGGCCACCCCTTCCTCCGGGGCCGGAGCTGCTCAGGGGAGCGCTCCCGACCCGGGACAGCCCCGAGCGCCCCGGGACAGCGGCGCTTGTGCTCCTCCGACCCTTTCTACCGGCGGGAGAGGAACGGGGCGGGAGCGGGGGAAAGCAAGTAGGACCGAGCGTGTGTATGTTGGGGGGGATGGGGGGGAAGTTGCCATCCAACCTACCTGGTCTCCTGGTTGCTGAACTTCTTGGTGACCACCTTGCCCAGCTCCAGCCCGAGCCGGTCCGCCACCCGCTGCGACAGGTCGTGGTGGGAGCTACCGCTGAAGAGCACGATGTTCGGCATGGCGGGCAGGGAGGGGTGTGGGGGGCGAGAGGAGCGCGGGCGGAGGCGGGCGAGAGAGAGCTTAGCGCCCACGGCGCCGGGTCAAATAAGCGGCGCGGCGGGTCCGCCCCCCGCCCAGGAGCCGAGGGGCGGAGCGAGCCGGTGCGGGCGCGGGGCACCGGTGGCGGCCGTTAACCGGCGGCCGTTAACGGGCGGTGGGAGCTACCGCTGAAGAGCACGATGTTCGGCATGGCGGGCAGGGAGGGGTGTGGGGGGCGAGAGGAGCGCGGGCGGAGGCGGGCGAGAGAGAGCTTAGCGCCCGCGGGGCCGGGTCAAATAAGCGGCGCGGCGGGTCCGCCCCCCGCCCAGGAGCCGAGGGGCGGAGCGAGCCGGTGCGGGCGCGGGGCACCGGTGGCGGCCGTTAACCGGCGGCCGTTAACGGGCGGCCGAAGGGGTGGCGTTAGGCCGCGCTCTCTCCCTCCTCCCCGAGCCCCGCGTGCCCGGGTGCAGCCCGCGCCTGAGGCGGGGGTTGTGGCGGGTTTTACCTCAGGCGGACAGAGCTCGGCCGCTGCTTCTCCTCTCCTCTCCTCTCCTGGGCTGGGAGAGGGCCCGGCGGGGGGAGGTTTGGCGTCTGTGGGGCTCAGGTGACACTCTCGCCGAAAGAAAGCTCTCGCCCAGCTACAGGTATACCTAGGGGTGTGTTTCGTTAGGTAGCTGGCTAATTAATTTTAGCCCCCCGAGCCGTCCTTGAATAACCCCACAGCCGATTCTGTATATACACCCCATTCATTTTCCATTAACGTGTTTGTTTTTCTAGATCGTTGCTTAGAAGTAGGCTCACGCACAAACTACGGGCAGAAAATTGCACAAAGGAGAAAAGGCCTTAGCTTTCCGCTAAAGTAATTTTAGCTCATAGATAAAAAAATAGGCAGAAATTGCATTGGATACATGAACTGAGAACCACCGCGGTTTCCCTGCCTTAAGCAAAGCTTTCCCTCAAGAAGCAGGATCTTTAACATATGTTTAATCGTGCTCTAGCACTGGGATAATTCATGACCAGGTAAAAACCACAGTGTTCCATAGTTCACCTCTGCAGAGAGTGTTGGAGCTGGTCAAAACGTCCTAGCAAAGTAATTTTTCAGCTGAATACTAGGTTTTCAATGAAATCTGATTTCTGCAAAGAAATTAGATTTTTTTTCCCAGTAAGGAACCTTCTCCGTCAAAAAAATCAAATCCAGAGAGAACAGGTGCATGTCCCAAACTGAATCTTTTAATCAACGGCTGAGTAATAAATGGTTTGGGTTGGGGAATTAGGGTTGGATAGTTTGGCTGACTAGCATTCCCATTCTCCCTGGCCTAAACCAACCCGCCAGATACTTCCACAAATCAGGGACACTTCTTGCTAAGTATTGCCTCATTGCAGAGGCAGGATAAACAAGGGGCACAGCTTATGGACAAGAATGGGAATAATGAGTATTGTGACTTATCACAGCATAATTTCAGAATCTATTTCAGTGTTTGATACATTGCCAATACCTCAACATATGAGGACTGCTTTATGGCCCACTCACCCTTTTGCCCTCTGTATTTTCTCCTTATGCAAATTAAAAATAAATGGGTTTAACTGTCAGCAGCGTAGACTCATAATAGCAACTGAAAGTCAAGCCTATGTTTCTTCCAGTTCATCCATCTTCTTCAGCAACTAATTTTGTAGACTACACTTTGTTCTGAGTTACTTGCAACTCCAAGTTTTGCCACCTGTCCTGATTTCACTGTGATTTTTAATATTGATTATTCTAAAATAATGTGACAGGAGATCTCGGCTTCCATTAAGACTGCAGGTTTTGAATCTGTGGAAAAGAAAACTTCCTGACATGCACAACTAAAAACAGTGTTAGACAGAAAAGGGTAATTTAACTTCAAAATAATGTAATAAAGGAAAACCCATACTTCTGTGTAGACTCAAAACAACAGCAGAACTTTTGAAATGGTCTACAGAAGACGAGAAAACAACTTGGGCTGCCAAGAGTTTTTTGGGCAGCACTGAGCCCTACAATGAACTGGCTCGCTTGGTGAATGTCTTGATCCACTCTCTTTTTTCCCCAAGGTATCCACTTAAAACTCTTGTCCTCAAATGCAGTTTAATATATATTCCCCTATTTGCTGGCTTAGTGGGATACCCAGACCATTCTTTTCAGCCCACTAACACTTTTGTGCCCAATAGCTAATTTATTTGTGTTTATCCTGTAGTTACAATATAGAAACTGCAGTCATTAAAACTAGTTGTGGAGGCAGACATAGTGCTGGTTGACATGAAAAGTATGATTACCTTTCCTTTGGTTATGATAGGCTAAAACAGCGGACCAGATTTCAAAAGTTTATGTCATCACCACTTGAAGCTTTGCAGTTTTGTAGAGAAAAATAAATCACTGTTTCTCCTCTTTTGAGTAAATGAGGATAAGGGAACTACCTGCCTAACAGCAGAAAGTAAAACTTTCACAGGAAATTGCTTTCTTCCTTTTATCATCACATTGTGTGTAGAAACAGTCTTGCCTGATGTAGGATGTAATACTCAGCAAAGAACAACAAAATGCTGTTTCCTGGTAACTAGATATCAGTAAATATTGGCCAGTTTAGCCAGGACAAAGACTGCAACAATTACTAGTCAATTGCACCTGAGAAAGCATATGTAATTCTGCTCCTGCAATAGAAAGCCCTTCCAGCAAAGGTGCGAGAGCAAAGGAAAACCAAGAGACTTTAAAATATCAGAAGCAGAAACTGGACTAGCAAGAGACTCTGATTTCCATAAAACTGAAAAATGTTTGCCCATCTTGGATTCATTGGAGTGCACAGTTTTGCAAATCTTGCCATGTAGCTCACTCCATAACTCTCCTTACACTTCCCGTACTGGAAATTGTTATACTCCAAAGTAACCCAGCACTGTTGTAGTTTTTGTATCACAATGACTTCTGACCTCTTTTTTTTTTTTTTCCAAATTACAAAATATCTTTATGGGGGAATATTTGCTGGGGAAAAAACAAGAACTGACAAAATGGGTCTCTGGAAATACAATCTGAATATCAAGCTATTTCATTCCTTCCTCTCCCAGTCATAATTTTCAAAAGACTCCATTGACCAATTTCTACCCTCATTTACAGCATTTAATTGTCAAATGTTACCAAATCATGGGTCTGGTCTCAAAAGAGTTGATCATGAAAAATCTGAGATTTAAAATAAACAGTTGCAGGCTATTTTTATTTTTTGTGTATATTTTTAACTGTTAGTGTACATTCAGCTCATTATTTCAAGATTTTCTCAAAACCTCCCTTAAAAAAATTAAAGCTAATATTTGCCTCTAATCACTTGCCTCCAAGGGCTTTGGCTAGAAGAATAAACAGCAAATATTGGAGGCCTTGATATGGAATAGCAGCAGCTGACAGCATGACAGTTACATCTGTCCAAACGTATTATCTCTGCATTTTGAGACCTGTGATTCTATTGTCTTCAAATGCTGATCTGGTTTTTCCAAAGCTTTTTCTATCCTGCAAGAATAAAAACATAAAAAATTGTTAAATGAGTAATGCTAATGAGAAAGCATAAAGTTTTGTCATAAGACCCCTATAGTTGTTCCTACCGCCCAATAACTTAGCATGTTCTTCATGATCTTGGCCACCCACTGCTCCCAAATTACCTTCAACGTTCCCAACTTCCACGTAGCTCCAGTCATCTCCCTCCCAGCTGTCTTCCAAATCCCCATTGCTTCCCTGCTTTGCTCTATGGCTTCCAGTTTCTGCGATTGTTTCTAATGTTACCTCTGGATATTTTCTGAATACTGAATATTTCAGCTGCTGCTTCTCTTTCAGACTCACAGCTCTACAAAATACTTACTGTTCAGCTGCTATTGAAAGCTCTTTGATCACTTAGCTCCTCTTTTCTTTGTCAGCAGATACAGCTCCTACTGCTTCACCTACTTTATTCTGTAAAAGGGCTTACTGCCCTTCTTACATTTATTCTGAGAGAAGATGCTAAGCCAAACAGCTTTCATAAATTTTTCCTAATGCATATCATAACACACCTTTTTCAGCTCTAATCATCATCTAACAAGTGGCACCGTATACAATGCATGATCAATGGAGAAAAAAAGAAAACATTTTCAGACTGCAAGTTATATAAACTTAACTGTTCACAGTGTGCTTTGTTATCAGGATGTTTTCACATCAATGGCCTAGGCTGTTCTTAGCCCCCTATTTACCTCCATAGTGATGTTCTCTTCTTCTCTAACAGATTTTTGTCTTAAACTTCCTTTATTTGAGCAACAGAAAATGTCTTTTGGTGCTGAGAAACCTGGAAAACTTGTCACTGTTTTTCCAGTCTGAGCTTTGATGGCTATGTCTCAACTGCAGTAAGCAATCATTTTGTTACTCTTGTAGTTATGACAGGTTACTAAATTTATATGTATATTTCACCTCATAATGCTGCAGTTTTCCCAGACAGCTTACAAAGTACCTTTCAGGATTCTCGCATCTAAAAAGGTACTATCTGGGATATGTGGCTTGTCTGGAGCATTGATTATCTGCCACGTAGCAGTAGCGAAAATGATCTACCAAAAGCATTGGTGTTGGTACTGTAGGTATTGCTATGGAGGAAAGGCCCAGACTACATGATTTCTTAAGATCCTTTATAAATCTTATTTTCTATAATGCTACTATTATTCTAGATTTTGTCACTGCCAGGAGTTCTTTTTATGGATGTCACAATAGTATAATGCTTCTTTACCTAGACTTTTTCCATATTAAGTCATCATACAGTCATGACTTGTGTTGCCACATCAACATTGGACTGTAATTACTATCATTTATGTCCATTATGGAAGGGTTTTGAAGATCAGGTAAGTTAAAAGATCTTTTTTCATTTGTGATTTTTGTCTTCTGTAGTAAATGATAAATTGAACTTTACTGACCCAGCACTGAATTCTCATGGGGAAAAGAAATACTCTAAATCCTCAAGAATTGCTATGTATTAACATCTTGTTGTCCAGACAGCTCTGTTACACATCTGATTCCTTCTCAAGATGACATCTCAGGTCCT